AAATTACATCAACAAAAATTTTATGTCGCGTCGAAATGAAGAAAAATTGTCCTTTTCGTACAACGCATTTTACGTGTCTCGAGATTTAATAAAATTCTTTTTTCTTCATTTCGGAATAGAATAAGAGAAAATTAAGAAAATTTGATTAATTACTAATAAACAACAAAATTTAAAAAAATATTTCAAAAATATAGTCCATTTGGAATTCTTCTCCGAAGTGTCAAACGAAATACTCTATTGTATTTTTTTTCTACACCATTCCTGATTGGTTTCGTTCGGCTGGTGATGAGAGCTTTCTTGACTTCCTTGAAAATGAATTATTGGGTTACCCCCTCTCTCTCTCCTAAGAGCTAGAAATAGACCTCAAATTAGATGATTCGGAATCGAGTAGCAAATCGTTTATTCGCAGTTCAATATCAGGTTCAAAGGCTTTCAGGCACAAACATTAGATAACTTTGTATGGAAAAGACAAATAAACATGAGAATATTTCATTCGAACAAACCAGACCAGACGATCCACTAAGCTTTGCGGCAATCCCACTAAACCTACTTAGCTAAATAGGATTACGCAGATATGAAAAAATTATCTCTTTTAAGCCTATTTGTCTGATTATGCTGATTAATATGTAATCCACAAAAATCTGATTCCGAACGTTAACCTTAACTACTAATTCTAACTCTACGTTCCGCATATTTCCTCGACGTTCTCCTGAGCCTTAGGTTTTTTTCTTATGCCTAAATGCTATCCAAATATCTAAGTGTTAACAATTCTTTAATTCAACATTTATTAAATTAAATTGAATCATTAGAGTGGAAATGGAAGAGCGATCATAAAAAAAAGATCAGTTTTACAGGTTAAATCTATATTCCAAATTATTTGAAAAAAAATGCCTCTATAGGCCTCAAAATTGCTTTTATTGAAAATTTATACAATACTTTAAATAAATAAAACAAAAAATCATTAATGAATCCAAATGAAAAAAATTCAACAAAATAGCTTTTATAAATTTTTTTAATGTTTAAATTAAATGTATAAAAATATGAAATCAACGATAAATAAAGAAAAAAAATCTAATGAATTTCAAAATCGAAATGCAAAAATTTTAAATCTCTTTCTTTCCAAAATTCCACTAAATTTTTCTCATTTTTCTAAATTTTATAATCAAAAATTTCGCTTATTGGAAAGTTATTTTTCATCCTTTTTAGATTTTTTGAAAAAAATTCTTCCTTCGGAGAAGAAATTTCAGATTTAACAATTTCTTTCTATTCTATGATATTTACAAAAGAAACACAGTTATAATGACTATCGAGTAAAGAAACTACTATTTCCATGATAAATGATAAATAACTGATAAAGAACGAATAAAAAAATAGAAAAAGATAAAAAGTGCTATATGATATCGTATAGCATTTAGGAAATTTGTTGATCCAAAAATGGTATATTATTGGTGAAAGTGGCGAATTCCGTATCTTTGTTTAAAAATATGCTCAGCGTTTAAATGTTGATCGCTGTTGATTATTAATTACTATTGGGGATATCTATTGATCTAACATTGATTGTTTATAAGAGTGTAATCATATTGAAGATCCGTGCCTTTCGGCTATCTGATAAACAATTATAATTTGATAAAAAAACTTTTATCAACAATAAAGCATCTTTTTTCGTGAATTTAATTGCTTAATAGGATAAACGAATTGTCAAAAAAACAGTTAAGTTTGATTATTTCGTAAAATGAATGCATTGTTAAAACGTGAACGTGGGGTCTTATTGCGAGATTTCACATGAAATAGGCATTAAAATGTGATTGTACATTTTTTTTAGGGGGAAGGGGACTCACAAAGCTTTTTTTTTATCTCTTTGATAGCCTGGTAGAATTAAAATCTTTTTCAAGCACCATTTTTGCTTTGGTTGGATTCACCTGTTAAGAAAAAAAAAGATGATCGCGCAGTGGTAAGGAAATTGCCATTGAGAATCGAGGCTTGAGTTCGAATCCGCCACTCTTGCTCAAACTGCAGAGTACCCCAACGAGAAAAACAAAAGTGATAGAATGACTCAGTGGGCTGTTGCTTAGTTTGGAGCGCGATTTGTTCCCAGCAGGAGTAAACCTGCACAAAAATCATGATGCTGATGAATCATTTGTATTTCTACCACCAAAGGACTACATATTTACCTTAATGCGATAAGCCAGAGGAGTGAGCCTATCCAATAATGGTGAATGTTCCTTAAAGATAAAAGTAAGCCGAGTAGCACCATACTATTTCTGGTCACGTTGTTGGTTGGATGAGACAATTTTATTATGTTTTGATCTGATACAGCCACCGAATCATGTGAAATCTAAGCAAAAACCGCATGGTAACTGTGCTTTGAAGTTTCCATTTATGCCTCTATTATGTCTAAAATTTAGTCAAAGGCTTTCCGGCCACCGAAACCCATAAATGTAAGCAAATGGCGAATATCTTCAAATTTCTTTTAATTATATCATTCCAGGTGATAGGATGGCTTAGTGGGTTGTTGCTGAATTCAGGGCGCCGATACTAAGGTTCTATTTCCAGCAAGAGTAAACCTGTCCAAAAATCTGTCATCGTTGCTGGCGACTCACCCGTATTTCTATCGCTGGCATATTTGACCAATGCTACAAGCCAGCGAAGCGATTTTAACCAGTAATGGTGAAGACTCTTTAAAAAAACCACTCCAGATTGGGCCTTCTTACTTTAGCACCACGCTTAACATGGCGTATCATTTCTTCCTCTTCTGCTAATAGCCTTCACCATTACTGGTTAGAAGCTACAAGGGTAAGACGCATCCAAACGGCGCGTTTTGATGCCATCGTCGACAGTAATAGAAGCCATTCCTTTTTCCATCGTCTAAGTCCATATATTTCTGGTCCATCTATGCGTTCAAAAACCTGAAAGCCATTTTTTTTTCCATCGTCTAAGTCCATATGTTGCTGGTCCATCTATACGTTCAAAATCTTTCCTGACCGTATCAGTCCAGGTCTTGATTGGCCCACCTCGCTTTTGACGCCATCCATCACACGGTAAAGCAAGTAACGAAATATGCGACAACTCTTGTGGTGGACGATGGAGAACGTGCCATAACCACCAAAGGCGACGCTCTGTGATAACATTATTAAAACAATTGGTATTTGAACGAAGGTGGATGCGATCATGTGATATTTTATCCGCTCGACGGACCCGTAAAATATACCTTAGGCAAGAGTGGTCAAAGGTATATAGCTTCTTAATATCCTCTCAGTGACCATGCCTCAGAACCATATAGTATCGAACGGATCACGGTAATATAGATGCGGACTTTTGTTTTAATGGTAATTTCACGACGGCTCCATAAAGGTTTCGTCAACCGGAAGAACGCATTTCTAGTTGTCGAGCTAAATATCGTCTTTTGCCTAACCATTTGGTATTAGAGTGGACCCAAGGTATCGGGCACCGTACCATTTATGGAGATATGGACCAATTTTTGCGATGGGATGAAAAATACCAAATTAGCATAGTAATGCTCATGTTCCAATCGAAAATGAGGTGAGATTTCAATGGCATGGCCAGTACATATATTGCTAATAAAAATAGTCCTGAGGGTCTTATTATGATTGAATGTTAAGAAAACAGTAGAGAAACTGCGACGCTGTCAGTATTCGGATTCTTCATCCACCGTTTTCCTGTTTGACACCTCACCTATTGTGCTAAGAATTATAACGGCCAACGGCCAACTGGCTATATACACTGCTTACCACATTATTTAAATCGCATTTTTTTAAAGTTTGTTCATTTTGAATAAATTTTTCTCGCATTATTTTATCACAGATAAAACAGGACAAAATTCCCATTACCAGCCATCAGCCATTTTTTTCTTCCTTCGAAATCATACAATCTAAATAAGTTCAAATATAATTACCAGTGTAATTTTACTTTGCTAAAAAAATTAACAAATTGACAGATTTAATATTAGCTTATAATCTATCAATTATATTTTTGCCTTAGGCTTTCGAAGAAATCCATTTCTTTTGCACGTTTTCTGGCTAGGCTCGTTGGCTGTTCCGTTGGCTTGGCAGATATTTGACGAGAGAAGGCCAGGTGGGCTGCCAACACCACTCGGTTCAAAATATTGCCATAGCTTCCGGCCTATATTTGATTGTTTTTTTTGTGAATTAAGTGAATAAAGACCGAATTCCAGAAGTTTTTTAAAGATTTTTTTAGATTCACGTAGAAAGTGTTTATAGGAGTAATAGTAAAAGCTGATAATGGAAAAAATTTATATTTACATTTTAAAACTTAGTCAATATATCTATAAATATTACATCCGAAAATTGAGATAAAACTAAAAATTTGTAATTCCTGGAAAACGAAAAACGAACTGATGTGAATACATAAATATTTAGCTGCTTCATCCTCTAATCTGGTCTTGCAGAGAATACACGAATTTTATCAAATTGAAATGCTGAAATCTAATGGTTTCATATTTTGGTCAAATATTGGTAACCTTTTTGCTCTGTGGCTCAGGTTTTCTGTAGTCTGTTGCTAGTTCCTAGTCTTATCGCTTTTCTATCCATAATTCAGGGCCAACTTATCGCCTTTTAAACTTATAAGCAAAAAATCAGGCTAAACGTTAATAAGGTTAGAAATTTTTTCCACTCAGTCATTTTACGAGAGAAGTAGAAGTAGGTGGTCAGCATCATCACCCGGCTTTTTTAATGATCGGTTTATTCTTACTGGGACAGAAAATCGAATCTGTTATTCTCGAGGCGAATCAGTGCAGCCGTACCATTCTGCCATCCTTCTTCCTCTAATAGCCCATGAGCAGGCCGCTGGGAGTAATGCTAGTCATATATTCTTTATTTAGGCGTCGTTTGCGCCTTCGAGCCTTTTTAATTGTTCTTCTTAGTTAAAGTTGGAAGTTTTGTTAATGAATAAATCTGTTAAAGCATTTTTTGTGGGAAATTCGATAAAATAAAATTATTTAGGTAAAAGGAAAGAAAATCTGGATGACACGACACGGTAAAAATGCAACGGCATCAGCTGTTTATTCGTATTCGGAGAGGAGGAAAGATGCAACTCAATCAGGTTATGGAACTCTTCATCAGCGCTTAGGTGCTGATTCTATCAAAGAATTTGATTGTTGCTCGATTACATTACAGCCTTGTCGGTAAATATTTTTCGCTATTCTGCTTCTTTAATTTTGCTTAGGGAATATTAAATTTACGCTCAACTGTTTCTTCCTCTTTTTCCACTTTTAGTCATTTTTCCTATGATTAAAAATCTCTTATAATTTAAATTATAATTTATTTGTTCAGAATATAATTTAGTTTAAAAGATTATTCGAAAGTGTTTGAATCTTGTTGAATAATTCGCTTATTAATTTAAGTGGATTTTTAGGTTATCCAGTTTCAAGTTGATGGGTAATTCTTTTTGCGGTCGCTTGTATTATTATCACTTGATTTTTTTAATTTTAGGACCTAATAATGCCTAAAAATTGTTACGTATTTGTTAAAATTTAAATCGGATAATTTCTTGAAAATAAAAATTGAAGTTGTTAAAATTTCCTAAAGATACTGAAATGAAATAATGGGAGAATAAAGAAAATAATAAAACAATGAAAATAAAATAAAAGTTTTTAGTAATCCAGTAATTTCACCAAATGGTTATATATTCGATCGAGAAGCAGTTTTAGAATATTATCTTACACAGAAAAAAGAAAATGCAAAAAAACTGAAAGAATGGGAGAAACAATGTATGAAAGATGAAGAAGAACGGAATAAGGTAAGTAGGCATCATTTTTCACAAGTAAAACTTTCGATCTGAAAAGCAAGTATTTTCAGTTCTTTGATTAACCATTATATTAATGATGAAATGTTCAATTTTCCATGAAGTTTTAAAATGGTTAAGAAATATAAAAGGAGATTAATGCGAGATTGTTAGAAAGATGCCTCAACGTTGGAGCGATATTAAGGAAAGTACAAAGAGAGAGCGAATATAGAAAGAAATTATAAACAGAAGATGTTGAATGGGTTTTAAATGCCAAATAAAGGAAATATTGCAGAAGAATATTAAGAATATAAGAATATATATTAATAAACCAAAGGGATAATAAGATTTATTACTTATACTGCAATAATAAAAAAATAACATTAGTAAAAATAAAAATATTTAAATATTTAAATGTGTAAAAATATTTTATTCAGATATTTTCTTTATATCTTTAATTATGTTTCATTTATTTTAATGAAAATATTCAGGAGAAAAGTATGGTTGAAACCGTAAAAATAATGAAATTCATGATCGCAGAGGAGACACCGACACATCCCGGAGCGAGGTCATCTCTAGGCGATTTGACCCCGACGACTTCGGCCGGAGCAACTGCATCTGGAAGTCAGGTTGGGTTGTTTTTTTATTAACATATCTTGAGATAGATTCAGACTGAATTTTTTCAACCTTTTTTCAATCTCTATTTTATATCTTTTGTTTTTTTGAAATTTTAATTTGATTTCAGTTGCTGAAGAAACGTCGATTAATGGATGATGAATTTGTAGCAAAAAAAATGAAAAGTGATGAGATTTCGAATGTGGCTGGAGCAAAAAGTCGAGAACTTCCAAGCTTTTGGATTCCTCAGCTTAATCCAACTGCAGAAAAAAGGATAGAAAAACCGGTACCATTTCAAATTTCCAATAGCTTCTCGCACTATTACTTGTTTGTTCCACTGCGGACTAGGATAATATATTTCTAGGACGGGATACCAATCCTGAACGTAATTAAACCCGCACCTTTTTCTGCCTCTTAGGCCCATATATCGTCAGATCACCTATGCGTTCAAAATCTCTCTGCCTCCTCATCCTCTAGATCTAGGTCTTGATTGGATTTCCTCGTTTTTGACGCCATGTAGGTTTAAAATTTTAACAAGTTTCAAAATGTAATAAGTTCATGTGCTGGGTGACAAAGAACATGGCCAAATCAAATAAAAGAAATAAAAGTACTATTCGAGCTAAATTGGGCTAAGTCATATCCATTTTGCAGTTATTAAGATATATTAGAAAAGTAGAAGTTTGGCATCCTTTTGTAGAATATCAGATAGGTAGAAACATCGTTTTGAGGCTGGTTTCGAACAGGTTTTGAAACATTTTCGCTTGACAGAATGGATCTCTAGCTGCAGCTATCCGAGCTGGGACTTTGTCTTTCTCCTGGTAGCTGGATGTAAGAGTCGATCCGAAATATTTAAAATCTGGCACTTATTGGACCGCTAATGAATTTGCAGGATTCACTATTATGTTTATTCTCTTCGACTGATATTCACTTTATTTAGATGGCGTAAAAAATTCAGAAAAACCTCAGGATGTCCAAAAAACCCTCCTCTTTTGAGTGTTATGATTTTTGTTCTATTTATGCTGAAATTTTTTTGCGAAATTTTTTTTATTGCGCTTGTTTAGCGATGTTTGTTAATTCTTTTATTCTTGGCAGATTATACATATATAGAAAGATACAGTAAATGAAAGACGTAATTCTTTTTTTTGTATCTATTTATACTCTTCCCTTATTTTGGGATCAAACTGTTCGATGTCCTGTATCTGGACGACCTCTAAAGATAAAAGAATTGCTACCTGTTCAATTCACAAAAGTTGACGATGAGGAGGACAATTCAAAAAAGATGCGATATATGTGTCCCATTACGCATGATATTATAACCAATACTACTCGATGTGCTTATTTAAAAACAAGGTAATTTTTCGAAAAACTTCACTTAATTTCCAGTTTGTAATTTCCAAGACTTGTCAAATTTTCTTAAAGAAATCTGTTTTTTATCAAAAGATCTGAAAGAAAAATCAAATTGTTCAATGTTTTAATTTAGTCAAGTTGTCGTGACAATGGACTGTGTTGATAAAATTATCAGAAAAGATATGATTGATCCAATTAACGGGAAATCGCTTATGGATACTGATATAATTGAATTACAGCGTGGTGGAACAGGTTTTTTTATTTATTTGAAAAGTTTTTTTCTTTAGAAATATTTTGTAACATTTAATAATTTTATGTTTCATGATTTTATAGTCTTAAGATTTGATGTTATTTCCTTATTTTAGCATATATAGCAATTTAAACATTGATTTTATTTTTAATTTTAAAAGTTTTCCAACTTTTTTCCAGGATTTGCTTTAACAAATGAAGTTCGTGCCAAGCTAATTAGACCTCAGCTTGAATTGCAGTGATCTTTTGTCGATTTTAATTGCGCCAATCTACGTGATATTTATTTATTTAATTTGATTTCAAGTGTTAATCCCAGGAACATCAAGTTTTTTTTTCCTTCTTGAAAATGTTTTATTTGTTTTATATTAGTTATTTTAGGTTTTTAGGTTTCAGAATTCGATCTGTTTCTCTTTCCCTTTTATCCTTTGCTATCAGTGAATAGGTGGTGTCATGTAATTTTTTTCCCTAGTGGCTCTACAGTCTCATCCTAGCAGAGCAAACTAAAGCATCATTGGTTGCTTTTAGAAGAAATATTCCAGTCTAATCACATTTATTTCCTTCCTGATTTATATATTTTTATTTTCACTTTTTTTTTCACTTTTTTAAATTGTAATTTCATTTGTTTTGTTTTCAAGGCTTCCTGACCATTTTCTTTCATCGAACCCACACAAAGGAAACAAATATTTTTACCATCGGTTCTTTGCAAAGAGAATCATTTTCCCATAGACTTCCCATCCTATTTTTACGTTTTTTATTCCAGATTTCCCGAAGATTTTATTTATTGAATTATGTAAATTAATTTTAAATTAATTAATTTTAATGTAAATTTAAAAAAAATTTTTCAAGGTGGTAGCTAAATATATTTTGAAATATTTTAAAGATTTACGGGACTTTTATTCAAGAAAAATTTTATTTATAGACAAAGAGAATTTTTGTTAGAATTGCTCACTTGAAACTTGAAACTGGTCTTATTTTTTGTTTTATTTTATTGCGGATTTTTGATTAGTAATTATTGTAAAAGCATTTTTTTTCAAAAATTGCAGAAATATAGAATAGGACACAAAGGGCACTAATATTTTTGTGGAAATGTTAATTTTAAAAGAATCACAACTTGTATTTGACTTGTCCATCGGCCTCTTATTGACTCGTATTGTTCCCGTTCACCTTTCCAATCGATCTTTCGGGATCTATCGAATTCTTAAGGAACCGACCCTGTTGGGAATACTTATTTTATTTGAATTGTGCAATATCTATTTAATCAATTCATTTAATCAGTTGAAATCGCGTGTCTTAACTTTAAGAAGAATCTTTATATATATATATTTTGTATTGCGAAAAAGAAGAAATGTTAGTAATAAAAATTTTTATTTACGTGGTATATTTTGCAAATTTTTGTATTTCGGGTTGATCTTTATCGATTATTTCTTATTTTTGGCAAATTTTATCTCATTTTCCCTATAAATTGGAAAGGGTTTTTCAACTATTACCATGTTTTGGCGGCTAAATAGAATTTATTTGTATATTTCATGTTTTTCGCGTGCAATTATTTTTATAATTTAATATTTTTAGGTTTGCCATTTGTCGTCGTTAACGTGGGTCATTTAGATTCAAATATTTCGATTTCCTACCGCATTAAAACTAAATAATTGTTGTAGAATCCATCATCGTTATTATTCTCAATCTTCAGTATGGCGAAAGTGATGGAGAATGATGGATTTAAACGACCTGCTCTACCGGTTTCACTCACACAGTCTATGGGTATTTTTCAAAATTTTCTTTAAAAATTTGATTATACTTGAATTTGATTAGCCTCGATTTGGTTTTTAAAATAATTATGGAGAAATTAAGAATAAAAAAACTGAATGAAGGGATATTATATATCACGATGAAATAGTATGAAAAGGTTTTTTGTTTTAATTACCAGATTAGAATTTTCATAATAGTCGGTTGATTATTTTTATTTTAAAAATTATTTTTTTGAAAATAAAAAGACTATAAAAATGAAATTTATCAAATTAAAAATAAAATAAAAATAAAATTTTTTTTATTTTTTTTAAATTTATTTTAGGACCAAAACGCCCTCGCTTTGAAGTTGTTCAAAGTGGACATACAAAAAGTGAGCCAGTGCGATTATCTCAGTTACAGGCACCAATAATGTTGCTTAGTGGACATGAAGGTGAAATTCACACAGCCAAATTTAGCTCTGATGGAACTTTCCTTGCATCAGCTGGATTCGATATGGTTATTTGTACGTATATTATTTATTGATTTATAAAACTTTAATTAAGCTCTGCAAATTTTTTATTTGTTATTTCTTGTTATTTCTTATGAATTTTTTTAAAATGGTTCGAATATCAGTTTCCAGTTTTGTGGAATGTTTATGGTGATTGCGAAAATTTTTCAATTTTGAAAGGTCATACAGGAGCAATCATGGATCTTCATTTCAACTCTGATTCAAGGTTCATTTATTGGAATTAATATTATCTCTTTGTAGTATAGCTGCGTTCATTGAAAATAGTTGTTATATTTAGCTTGTTAATTACTGCTTCAACCGATAAAACAGCTCGAGTATGGGATATGGAAACAGGGACCTGCATTCGAAAAGTTCGATCGCATAAAGATATCGTTAACAGCTGCCATTTCGCTCGAAGAGGACCTCTGTTATTGTGCACTGCTTCTGATGATTATAATATACTTGTAAGTAATCATGTTTTTTTTAAGAGTTAAACCATTACTGGTTAAACTCGCTCCACTGTCTTGTCGCAATTGGGCAATATGCCAGAGATCCCTTGGCGATAGAAATATAGGTGAGTCGCCACCATCACTCGGATTTTTGTACAGATTTACTCCTGCAGGGGATCGGAACCTCAGCGTTTCCAATTGAGCAACAACCCACTGAGCCATATTGCTCCAGATAATCATGTAGATATATATATATATAGATTTTTTATATATAGATTTTTATTATTTGCTGAGATTATTATGGCGGCTTATTTCATTATGGGGCATTGAATGAGTGGAGTCCGTTAATAACTTGGATTTAATTTTAATCCTGAAGCAAAATAAACCTATATTTAAGTTGAAATTGGAGTCGCTGATGTATTTATTCTTCTGTTATCACTTTAGTTTATGACGAAAGAATTCCATTTCTATTGCTCCAACAGAGAACCTTGAGCTCAACCTTTACTTTGCCTTTTATGAGATTAGGCTATTGCTAAGTTTTTCATATAACTATCGGATAAAAGAGTTTGATGTTAGTAATCACTGCTAGCCAAATCAGATATTACTGGTGCTGTTAGATAAAGAACAATTTTCTTATTGTTTCAGGTACATGACATAAGGAAAAGAGATCCAGTTGTATGTTTTGCGAACAAATATCAAGTCACGGCTGTCTGTTTTAATGATAATGCTGAGCAAGTGATAAGTGGAGGCATCGATAATGATTTGAAAGTTATTTTCAGTTACTTGTTCAGCCGTATCTTCTTTCATCTTCACGTTTAAAATTTTCCTTTTGATTGTTTCTATTTTTGTCCAAAAGTTTTATTTTGCAGGTCTGGGATTTGAGACGTAATGATTTGGCATATGTTATGCGTGGACATACCGACACCGTAACAGCCCTCGCTCTTAGCCCTCAGGGCACTCATGTTCTTTCCAATTCCATGGACTGTACAGGTATAATTTAATAAGATAAGTATCTTATCTTAATTTAATTATATATATGTAAATACATTTCCTTTCAGCGAAAATGTGGGATATTCGTGTATATTCTCCAGAAGTACGTTGTGTCAAATCTTTTGGAGGTCATCAGCACAACTTCGAAAAGGTATCAAAAATTTTCTTTGTTTCCGTGAGATTTTTTTGATAATTAGTCTTTAGAAAAATTTTCACCAAAGTTTCATTATAGAATTTGTTGAAATGTGCTTGGTCACCAGATAATAATTATATAACCTGTGGTTCGAGTGATCGATATGTTTATGCCTGGGAAGTATCTTCCCGAAGAATAGTTTATAAACTACCTGGTCATCAAGGTTCTGTTAATGCGACTGATTTCCATCCAAAAGAACCTATATGTAAGTTTCTTAAAAAACTTTTAGATCCGATTTTTAAAGCGCATTTTCAAATTCCGACAGTTTTGTGAAGATTTTGTTTGGTTTAATATTCTTTTCTCTCCACTTTTTTTTAACGATAAAGCCTTTCTATTTATTTTTTTGAAAATTTTCATTCTTTCTGTATTTCAGTATTATCCGCATCTAGTGATAAAAAAATATTTCTGGGAGAAGTGGAGCTTTAATAGTTGGCTACGGTGATTTTTGTTGCTGGTGCAATTATATATTTTCTTTTTGTTTATTTGTTATCGGAAATGTTTTTACGTTGCAGATCTCCTTTATTTTAAAGATCGGTCATAGATTCTTTCTACCACTGTCATCTTACATTAAATGGTTTCGTCAGTTTTTGAAGAATGAAATATTAATATTTTATATATTTTATTTACTTTTATTTAACAATTTCCTTATAATCATTGATATTTGTTATAATTTAGATGTTGAAAATGTTCTCATTATTGAGTAGCAAAGCAAAAATAAAGATTAATTAATCTGGAATTTAAACATTATATGATAAACAGTCGATATTGTAACGTTTGAATTAAGTCTTTTTGTGTTCAGATTATTCTATCATATAAATTTTTACTTCTGCCAAAGAATGGGATCTGTTTCTAGCTTTACTTAACAAGGTTCTGGTTCTACTATGTGAATCGATTGCATATATTCTTCAAAATTAATTTTGCAAATTGACTTCGTGTTAACCGTGCACAATCCATTAACATCGGAGATAATCAGATTTGTTGTGGGTAATTTGACTATCAGTTTATCAGTTCTCATAATTATCGACTAATTTCCCGACGGAAAGTCAAATCCATGGTAGAGGATGGTCCAATTTAAATTTTGATAAAACCTAGAATCGTTGTTTGGCTGGCCAAACTTTCTCATTGTCATACAGCATTTCATTAAAAATATTTATCGCTTGCAATTTTACTTGAATTCCAAGTTTTACTGGCTGTTAGAAATTGGAAATTGGCAACGAGAATATTACGTACTTTTCGAGACGAGAAGTGTTGTGGGCAATTCGTAATAGTTTTTAGAATGTCGCATGCATGGAATGTTTTCGGAAAAAAATTCGGTCGTGCAGTCGTTTATGTCTCGCAGTCCAAATGCATTTATGAAAATTTAGCATTCGAAGAATGGCTTTTGAGAAATTTCAATATTGAAAGGAATGGTGAAGTATTGCTACTTTGGAGGTTGGGCATTAATATTACGATAATTTGTTCCTTTGGGGTATTTTCTTTCTTATACGTTGGTATTGTTTTTTTAAAGTTGCAGATCAAATCGGATTCGGCTTGCCTTTCGGTCGATCCGAATTCGGCAGAGGAAGTAGTAGTGTAGTTGATAAGGACTGCTGGTTGTCGTAGGATAACTCTCTTATGGAGTAGTGTATTATTTCGCCCCAGGCAAGTGCAGATAATTATCTTACTTGGTACCACACTGTGAATACTACAAAGATAATCGCTCTATAGTAGTAAAAAAATGAACTGGCGAATAAAAGGTGTGAAACATTCACGCATAAAATTTTAATAACGAAGGGATCAAATATATGCGAGGATCATACTTTATAAAATTTGCTTCTAAAATTCATGATTTTCAATTTCCAGCAATTCTCCGAGCGTAGTTATTGGTCGCCATCAAATACCTTGGCTTGAAGCAAATTTGACATATATGAAACAAAATCAAATAAAATTGGCTCGACGTCACAGTGGTGGCGGTGCAGTTTATCACGATCAAGGTAAGTTAATAAAAGCCTCAGTATTTCTTTTGGGGTACCAAAGCAATTTGGAAAGCTTAACCAATCTTTTCTATTCACATGCTTTCCATTCCATTGTTATTTGATTTCAGGTAACATTAATATATCGATATTAACAAAACAAAGGGATCACAATCGAGCGAGAAATCTGGAATTTATTGCAAATTTACTCAATATCAATTTTAATTTTAAAGTACGATATAAAATTATTGTTTATATTGTATTGGTTCCATTAGTTATGTAGTAAAGAGGCTGAGGTTCTATTCCCCATTGGGAAAAACTTGTTGAAAAATTCGATAATGCTGACTATTTAAGTCAACTTCCATCCTTAATAGACTACATGGAATATTCAGTGTAGCTAGCCAGCGAAGCGAGCTTAGCTATAAATGGTGTGGATTCATGAAAAAAAGAATTTTATCGGGACGGCCTCTTAAGATTTCACTTTTTATAGCAAATTTGCTTTTCGCTTCCCTTGACGGATTTGTACTTATCTCGATTCGTGAATAAATTTTATGTTTTTGCCTAGGAATGAATTGGACTGAATTGGACCTTGGTCTTCAGTTGATTCTACTCAATCATCTTGTAATTCTCATTTTTGTTAAAAAAAGATCTTTTTCCACAAAATAATATTAAACGCTAATTTATGCGATTATTTAGGTAGAATCTAATAAGCGCGATGATTTGCTTTTACAACCTGGTGATCGAAAAATATCCGGTACAGCTGCTCGAATAGTTCATGGTCGAGCATATCATCATTTGACTTTACTCGTTGATGTGGATCTTTCCAAGCTTCATAACTCTCTGAAGTCGGAATATGCAGTAGGTTTTTTTATTTTGCTCATCATAATGTTTTATTTAGTTGTTGTAGATGGCTGATTTGTTTTTAACTGCATTAAAATTTTAGAAGCAAATAATAACTAATGCTACGACAAGTGTGCGAGCAGCCGCAGTTGGATATCTTTCTCAAGAAAGAGACGTTAATGTGGGCACTATTGTAAATTGTTTAGTTTCTTCCTTCCGAAATCAATACATGGTAAGTATAAAAGTAAATAAATCTCTATCCCTTAATTTGATACGGATGGTAGAAAAATTTTTATCAGAGTTTTTGGTTTATATAAATATTTGGTTTATGTGGGGGCATTGCTTCATCTTGGGATTAGTTACGAAAACGACACGAATTTGACTTTTATTTGCTGATCCATTTATACTTATATCCTGAAATGGCTTCCCGGTGGTCTCGTCCTAGTAACTGATGGACAATTCATTAAGCCAGAACTATTTTTTAATTCTTACCGTCCATTTGTCATCCTATTAGAAAAAAATACTGTATTAAATACTAAAAAAACTGAAGTAAATGAAGTTATATGTTCATTTCTCTTCTATTTGAGGACAGTGATGTATATAATATGGTCAATATTAATAATGAGCTACTTTTTCCTGGTATCGCTGCAAACATCAGTTCTTTACGCAGTTGGGAATGGATATATGGAAAGTCACCAAAGTTTACCTTGAATACACCTAACAATACTTTCTTTATAGATCGAGGTAAAATTCAAGCTGTAGATGGGCCCAAGAAAAATTTTATTGGTCTTACTTTAGTTGATGATCTTTCATCGTTGTACCACTAGACATTGGAAAATCTTTACAGCAGTAAAGATTCCATTTTTAAGCAAATTTTAGTAAAAATGAAAAAAATTAAAGAAAATGTGGCATTAATTGTACAGTAAATAAATTAAGAAGTTAGGCTATAAGAAAATTTCGTCAATTTAGAGATTAATTAATTTTATCTATAAATCTTTGGTGAATTTCTGTTCATTATAATGGTCCATTGTGTTAAATTGGTTAATTGGTTATATATTAAATGAAATTGATATTATCGTTTTTTCCATATCAGCCAAATCAATTTTTAAATTATTTAAATAATTTGTAAATATTTGTAATAAATTTATCGTTGAAAGATGATTTTTATAATAGCCCCTGCAGCAACCATTTCATTTCTTCTACTTCTAACAGAATACACCATTTCTGGTTTGGCTGATTTCGTTATTAGGTTGAGGCTATTTTTGGCAGAGGGTCATTTGCGAATAAAATTACAAGTGGGTAATGTAGTGCTTGTCTCCACTTTAAGCAACATGGAACTCAAAAACCGCTTTATTGTAAAAGGACCAATTTGCGGGCACTAATCCTATTTCAGGAAGAGTTTTGATCTTTATGTTTATCCATCGTATGTACGTAACAATAAACGTATATCGCTTAAACAATAAAATGTGAAATTGGGCAAAACGCATATTTTCAAATAAACAACTGTTTTAATTTTCCACTGTATTTGGTTATAAGAGTGGAAGATATTAAGAAGCCATCTATCTTTGACCACTTTTGCCTAAGGTATATTTTACGGGTCCGTAGAGTGAATAAAATATCACATGATCGCATCCACTTTCGTTCAAACACCAACTGTATTAATAATGTTATCACAGAGCATCGCCTTCGGTGGTTAGGGCACGTTCTCTGTCGTCCACCGCAGGATTTGAAGCATATTTCGTTACTTGCTAAACTCTATTATGAATGACGAGGTGGGCAAATCAAGATCTGAATTGATACGGTCAGAAAACGTATAAGTGGACCAGCGATATATGGACTTAGGCGATGGAAAAAGGAATACCTTCTATTACTGTTGATGATGGCATCAGACCGCGCCACTTGGAAACTTCTTACCCTTGTGGCCTTTGGAACCAGCCTAACCAGTATTGTTAGAGGAGCTATTAGAATTGTAGTTGGTTAACAAAAATATATATCATTTTGTTAGAAAATTTGTACAGCTGTTTTTTATTTATTGAGAAAAAATTTATTAGTGGAAATCTTTAATTATTTCATATTACTGATTGCTATTGTATCTATACAATGAATATATGAAAAAGGTCCTTTTTTAGCAAATTTTACATATATTATATAACATGACATATACGTATATACGATGGTATTGTTCAAACCGTGGTTTTGAGACTGAGTATTGCAGTTCCATCAAATAATAAGCAACCAGTCAGACACCAATCTGCAATAATTGCTAAAAGAAACTGCAATAATTTTAAGGATAATAAGGCCCACAGTCAATCAAGACCCAGGCCCATCTCTTAGGATGTCCTATCTCCTTGATCCTATGTTTCAATTTAATGTGAACCTGAACCTAAATCCAAAGAAAACCAAGAAGCAACTAAAAACCCACAGGCTATTAGATGCGACTCTTTCGTCAGGGAACCAGCTGTGGACGGAATTACAGGTCTTCTGCAATACCTTTTAATGGCGGTTATACTTGCAGAAAGCAGGCACCAAACCATAATCCTTGATTAGATTATTTCAACAAAACATGGCCATACTGTCAGTATTTCCCTAAATTATAAAAAATCATCTCAGTAGTACCATTTAGATAATCAAATTTTGAATTTAAAGGAACATGGATAAGAAGGAATTTTAAGGAATCAAATAAATAATGTGGACGTTGCTGAATTTTGCATGTTCTTTAACAAATGATCATGAATTTTGTATTGCATTCAAGTGATAATTATATATAAATAAAAAAATATATAAATAATTTTAAATTTGGAACTTCAAATTTTCAGAAAAATTCAATTCTTCTTCCTCGGAATAGAACTTATTGTAATAAACAGATCTTTTCCAAGTGGTCCAGTAAATTCAGTGATGTGAGCGAGGCTTCGATTCCTTGATTAACCTTGTCATCTACAGCTTGGCGAGCTGAAATCTGATTTGGCTGCGGATAACCCACATGAAATCTTTCAAAAAGCGATTCTCTCGAGATTCCATTCGGGTATCGATATTGAATCACTAATTATTAATTAATTTTTTCAGCCATTCCATTTTTTTACATGATTGATAAATTTAATCAGCTGTCATATTACGGTGCATTTCAATATGATCATTTCGAAATGTCTTTTTTTGGCAAAATAGATTTATCTATAAAAAACCTCGTTTTATTTACCAAATGCACCAAACTGAACAAACAAAAAGCAATTTAAAAGGGTAGTTAAAGCTGCTAAAAGTCAACCAACAATGATTTCTGGCGTAGTATGGCATTTCGTTGCATTCGTTTATTATGGTTTGTTTTTCCTCGAATATTCAAATCTCCAAAATATATTTTAAAAAATTTTGAATAAATTTATGTATAGCGAATGCTGCATGCGAATATGATCGTGCCACGCGCCCTAAGTTTTCCGATCCGATTAATGCAAAACGTATGCGAATTGCTCACGGAGAAGATGGTTTTAGCGGAAAAAATATTTACAAAATAGTTAGTTTCTAATTTTTTCAGCAATATCCACCATTTCTAATAATCATCCAGAGAGAACCACTTAGGAATGGAAATAACGTGGATCGCCACAACACAATTCGGAATGAGAGTGTTCCATCAAGTGAATGAAATCGTGAACTGAATCTAGTTTAAGCGCTTTAGGTAAGCCATACTCTCTTCTTTTGTCTTCATTCGGCCATCGACCCCTATATCAGTCAAATAGTGAATAAATCTAGGTGATGTATGTGGAAAGAGAGTTCCACTTTCTGTTATCTTAATAATTATCATCCACTTTCTGTTATCATCAATTATTAAATAATTTATAATTAATGATAATAATGTCAATAGTTAATAATAATATGTGAAATAATAAATAAATAAATAATAAATAAATTTAATTTATAAAATAAACAATTTTATAGTTCTATGATTGTACATTTGAAGAAGGAGCGAAAAATTGGGCAGCTCAGTGCACCCCACAGTTTTCTTCATCATCTTATAGAATAACTGAAGGCGAAACCTTTTTCGCAACAGATCCTAAAAATTCTCTCGGTATTCTATTTTTATTGTTTTCAACTAACATCCATTGGAGATTTATCAGAGATCAGAAGATATTGAGAAGATTTTAACCAATGGCAGTGTTCATATAATAATAACGCAGTCATCATCAAATCCTTTTCTATGTTCTAGACGATGTCATAAAAATGTATGGACAACCAATAATTTTAAATTTTAAAATGTTTTTCCACTGAGAGATTCGAATAAATATAATAAATTATATATAATTAAATATAATATAATAAATATAATAAATTGTATAAAATCTAGTTTTGATTAAAAATTACTATTTAAGTAAAATAAGAATATGTGATTCGAATTAGGCATATCCGCATGCCTTCAAGGCTCGCCGTCGACCCCAAGGAGCCTGTAGAAGTCGTTATATCACTAGTTGGCCTAATTTGAGGTTTTTAGATGTATCGAAAAATCAGTGAGAAAAAACGAGAAATTATCATGCTGAAATAATTTTATACAATTTATTAACCTACTAATTAAAATTTTTTCTTATCATAAATATTTCAGATGAACTAATGAATGCGGCTGCTGATGCATGGTACTCGGAAAAGAATCAATCAACTAGCAATATCTTCACACAGGAAGATGAAACGAAAAGACCGAATTTCGCACAAGTAAGTACTTCCGCACAAGTAAGTAAGTACTAAGAGAATAAGTGCTTTTAAAGGGCTTGGAATTTCCCCGCATTTCATTTCCAATGTTTTATTTCTTCTAGTACCATAGTCTGAACTTTTAGCAGCATATCGCTTTAGGCCAATTTGACCAGATTCAGTAGATCTATAAGGTTTTTCATTTATAGGCTTATTCTCGACAAAAAATGTGGATTGTGCATTTTTCATTGAGACAAAAAGGCAATAGTAATTTAAATGACCAGTTCATTATTTCTATACTAGTGCGTCCCTTCATGATAAGTACCATCTCAAATTAAAAAGAATGGTTAAATTCCGCTTAACTCCAGCGTTTCTATAAATGCTCACCACTTCTAGAGAGACTAATTCCACTTGCCTGTCGGATCCTACAAATTTTGCCACAGAGTCACTTGACGATGGAAATACAGGTAGGTGCGTTTGGATCGCCAGCATCACCATAGTTATCGAAAGACAAGTTTACTCCTACTAGTGGTGTACTATACTCTATAGCGTTTGTTATCGTTTGTTTAGCATATGTTCAATATATCTTATAGATCGCCTGGGGAAAAACATCAAGAATCGCTTGTGCAGTTAATAAAGACTGTGTAATCAATGGAAAAAAGCAAGATTTCGTTGTTTGCCGTTATTGGCCGCGGTAGGTTATTTCTTTTTCGCCTAATTCATCTATCGCTTTTGATTTGGTTTGTTTCAGCTGTCTGATAGATAAAGTAGCCTACAATAGCCAATTGTCTACATCAGCCAACTGGATTTCAACTTAAGTAACAATTTTAGCAATGGCTAAGTATTGCTCATCACAAGTAATGATAATGAATGCTACCTGACTATCTCTATTGTCCAGCTCTTATCACTATTACTATCATTACTGTTATTCTTTCACCAAAATATTAACAGACTAATAAGTCAATTAGCTTTCTCATGATAAATTTTATTTTAGTGGTAATATTGTTAATGAAAAAATTTTCGACGAAGGTCGTGGATGTAACACAACTGCCGATTGCGATGCATTTCGAGAAACAAAATGTCTACCAGATCAAGGATTATGCATTAATTTTACACCCGATTAAGATTTTTATCAAGAACAAACGACGATTTATATCCATCAGTTATCCGTAACAAATGAACAAAAATAATTTGAAAAATAAAAATTTTCTTCAAATTGCATGAAATCTCCAAAAATAAGATATTCGAGGAGCATGAATTCGAACATTTTAGAAAGAAGTCAAATTAACACTTTTTTTTTCAAGTACATTTCTGGTTTGGCTGTTTCCATGATATATTAGGCCATTTATGAAAAGAATTGCAAACTGGCCTCCAGTGTCATTCAGATTTTATTTTATTATTTTTGATGATATTTTTAATGTTCTTCCATTGAGCCAGGAATTGCACATATGGTGATTTAATGTTAATCAAAGCCGCATCATCCTTCATCTCGCCTTCTGCCTCGGCTACGACTGCAAAAATAATCTATCATTGCAAACAGACTACCACTGAGCTACTACAGTGTAATCACTGCATCAATCTTAAGCAAATAATTACTTTTTTTTAACTCACTCCATTATTGATTAGGCTGGCTCACGTGGCTATAAGGGGACGTCTCCAAGCCGTCCGATCCGACGCCACCGTTGGCAATAATAGAAGCCATTCATTTTTCCATCCTCCAAGTCCATACATCGCTGGTCCGCCTATATATTAAAAATCTTTACTGACTATATCAGGTCTTGATTAACCCTCCTCTCTTATGATGCTATGCATCACACGATTTACCAAGTCACTTCCTGTGGTGGACAAGGAAGAAAATACCTTAAGCAGCGAAGGCGATGCTTTATGATTCTATAAATGCAAGTGGTATTTGAACGAAGGTGGGTGCGATCATATGATATTCCATCTCGACGAACCCGTAAAATGACAACCGTCGACAAAAGTGGTCAAATGCAGATAACTTACCTCCATTCTTATTGGCCATGTCTCGTAATCGTATAGTCATACAGCAAGATTGAGCCAATCGCGCCTATATGGACGCGGTCTTTCATTTTTATGGTGACTTCACAATGGCTCCATAAAGGTTTCGTCAACTGGAAGAATGCATTTCTAGCTGCCGTGATCCAGGCTATAATATCGTCTTTTGCCTGGCCATTTGGTATTAGAGTGGAACCAAGGTATTTAAAATCGGTCACTTTCTTGACCGGCAATGAATTTACAAAAAAGGCATTTTATCAGCTTTTTGTAAATAAGACGAAAAGAATTTCGTTTTATTTACATTGATTCCGATTCTCGCTGCAGCTGCCGCACATTGTTTAGCATTATTTGCATTTCGTCATAAATATCAGCCAAAAAGGACTACATCAAGGACTATTCAAGATCTATGGTACGATGCTCGACGATCTGATCTCTTGAATGCCGACAAGCAATGCTCGTTATCCAGTCTATCGCATAATTGAATACTGTAAAGGAAAGGATGCAGCGAACATCATTTCTTATTTCGAAGGAGTCTCTCCCATATAAATGGACCTATGCCGATGTAATGTACGCTGAAAAATGCCTTTATGAGAAGAATGATCGTCTCTGGAATACCACCACATTCCATCACTGTGCAAAGTGCCATTCTATCAATTGAATCGAGGGTAGCTGCAAAATCGATGAAATATATAACGGTGGGTTGCTGATATTAAGCGATGTTCCAACACCTTTAGAATACCTAGTCAGCACAATCGCATTCTGGACTAAAATCAGCTTGGTTAGGGCATATCTTGGTACTTCATGAGTCTGTAGGAAAGAAGCAAAAAATTTCCCGAAAATGTCTAGTAGGCTGGTTTCCTCGGTTAATTATCATAGTGTGTCTTAGCAATTGGGACCAGCATTGTTTTGCTCCAGTCATCTAGTATTATTTTTTTCTTCCATACCAAAGAGTACATTTGTTTAAGGTGTGGCATGAAGGAAAATAGACAATATTTGAGGAGACTATTTGAGGAGACCCGAAGATCACTTTATCCGGATGTTTTATTGACTCTAAGTTTCTGGATGATAAAGAATATTTCCTGCTCTTCTGGCGATCAAGCATATGGCTCGACGAGTGAATATCTGATATAACAAATGGTTTATCGTGGTTAAACTTGCCCTAAAAGAATTCCTTCCACCTTATAAGGCGATCCTTAATGATCTTAACAGGCCATCATCATTATCCTTTATCATTTCACTGACCGTTCTCCGAGTTATAATTACTTTATAAAATAGTTTCCTATAATCATCTAACCAATAGCGATTTCTACCTCACTGTACTGCATTTGTAATTTTTTGAAGCATCCGATCCAATAGCCAGGCTATCTTGGTATTTGTACTTTAGTAGTTTTTCCAGATAGCTGAACGTTTACTCAACTGGCACTTCCTACTAATATATCCTAGTAAAAATGGCTGTTTTCCTTTCAGTTGGAACCAGTATTCACTTGTCGTTCCAGAGAAGTTCACTGAGACGCTTCAATAATTCTGTATGAAATGTACTTACTGTGTTCCTTGAATTTGCGATAGTTGAAAGATCTTGGAAGACGTTTCTTGTTTCTTGTTGTTTCTTGCCATTTGTCAGCTCAATGACAGAGCAACTGCAAATTCGATTGCAGGCCGAGAGATACCCGGTTCAAAAAACGATTCTCGTTAATAAAAATAAAGGAAATATTTGCGAAATAGCTAAGTATATCTAAATATATCTTTTTTAAATATTCACGTACAATTTCCTGCACAAATTGCCATAAATTATACTTTATTACCATTTTTCTAATACCATTTCCCCAGGTTAGGTAACCAGAAAGATCCATGAGACTGCCGACTTTCCGATGGGACCGTGATTCCTCACGGGTGGGGCCGCAGATTTTTCTAGTTGTGCCGCTGTCTAGGAAATATGTTAGTTTGTATAAATGTGTTGCGATTTATCTTGGTACATTTTTTCGGTATAAACAGATGTTTTGGTTATAAGGTGTGTTTCCGGTTGCAAACTCTGGTACCAAAGGCCAGCTAAGAGGGTCAAGAGGAAAGAAGGATGTGGAATAGGTTGAGAATCTTAAAACAGCTATTTTAAAATAAGATTTTTTTTATTCGACTGATAAAAAAAAATGTTGCGTTTCGACGTTGTTGCGAATATTCTTAAATTTCAAAATAAATTTTTTCCGATTTGCGTTTTTTTGACCAAAATTATAGATGTCAGATTTAAAAGCCTTTTTTTTGTCGTTTTTATATTTATTTTTTATTATTTTTTAAATGAAAAAGAGCATTTAAAAAGAAAAAGATTGAAAAACCATCATAAAATATTATCAAACATATATGTAATGCTAATATTTTAAATTTGTTTTATTTTAGATGCTTAAGTTTGGTGATATTTTTATGTGAAATTCGCTTCGAAAAATTATTAAAATTGCAACTTTTCATTTTTCATCAATTTCGCTAATTTTCACATTTTCAAGTATATTTAATTTTAATAATAAAATTTTAATGGAATAAGAAATTTCGGAAATACAAAAGTAATATTAAAAATTTGGTTTGATTTGCTAAATTTTTATAATTTAAAATCATATTTAATAGATAAAAAAATCTGATCGTTATGAATGAACTAAATCCGATCATTAGTTATTAAATTCTTTGAAAAAATTCTTCAAAACTTGATTATGTAAAACTCTTTCCATGAATCGATCCCATTTTCTTCCTCTCTGTTAGATAAAGTGAATGGATGGATCGTAAATTAATTAATTTACTATCCATAAATTAATAAATTAATTTTAATTCATTTAAAATGAATTATTTTAAAAAATATAGGGGATGTATTTGGCGGGCGGAAAAAGGAATACTTGCTTATTGTGTTATTCTCAGATTTGGCATCGAATTGAGTGGCTTGGAAACGGGCTTATTCCTATAGCCTAACTGAGCTAACATAACCAATATTGGTGCGAGCTGGTAAAAAAAGAAGGAAGAAATTATTTATGGCAATAAAGAAATTTTGTGAAAATAAATATTTTATAATTAAGATTTTTAAATTTTTAAATTAAAAAAGAAAATTTTTCTTTTTTTCAGTAATATTTGATGATATTATTATTAGTGCTAATCATTGTATATATTTCAATAACGACACATTGCAGCGATTATCGACTTACGCCAGATTTATTGCACGACGTTGAAAGCGAAAAGGTTGAATCTTATCACACATATATTTTTTTAGCTTCATCCCTCATCTTAATTAGAACCACAGTGGTTCTTAATCAGAAATGCGCATAGTGAGGAGAGAGAACATTATGTCAAGGTCCTATAACCCATGTGTTTATTTAATATTGATCATATTACTAGTAAATAACATCTGTTATGAATATAGGTGAACAAATCTCAGATTCGCTTAATGCTGGTCATCTCTTATCTCTACTCTTGAAAGGAATAAGCCCATCGTTTTTTTGAAAAAAATCCTCGGAAAGTCTATAAGATAATTCACATGGTCCAACAGGCTAGTGGGAGCAAGCATAATTGGAAATAGAGGGTTCTTTTAAAAAAATTGCGTGAAATTGCGCTAAAATTAATAGATAATTATCAGTGTAATAATTTGTAATTTATAATACTTAAAGCAATTTTCACTAAAGAAGTTAGGAAGTTTGTGGTTTTCTTGTGAAGATTACTTGTCTCATCTAAATTTTTTTTTTCATTTTAGTTATTGAAAAAATTTGTTATGAATCATGCGAATTGTTCAAGAACTCAATGGGAATGTAATCGAAGTTGTCGAATACAATTTGTAAATACTATAACGGGTTTATGTCGTCGACCTTCTCCGCACGATACTTGTTTTGGTATTCCAATTAAATATAATTATACGGAGCCAATTTATACGTCATATTTGTCGAATTATGAAATTCTTAGTCGATTTCCCAGGTTTTATTTTTTGGCATCAATGTTTATTTAATAGTCGTAACATCATTCATTCACCTTCCACCACTTGCTTATTTAGGTGTTGGTCTTCTCTTGGTCCATTGATGTGCGCTATCACTTATCGACCTTGTGCAAATCGTTCATATTTTGAATTGACTATGGCAAAAGTATCATTTTTTAAATATCTTTTTTTATTGGAAAATATGGTGGTCGAATGGTATGTAATTGCGGCTAGAGAAAATAGAGTCCTTGAATTTTTCTATTGGAAAAATTTATTTTTTTACAGCCCGGCAAGATGGAGATGTGGCAGGTTTTTCGACAAAGTGATTGCATCCGAGCGAGAGAAAACTGTGCATTTATTATTCAACTCGGTTTGTGGCCGGACTTCCTTAATTGTTCTCACACCATAGAAAATAATAAAGCACATCTATTTTCGGATTCTTCTTGTAAAGTTAGTAACTAGGAAACGAATTAATTCTGTCTGAAAGTTATTCATTCTAAGTTTTATAGTTTTTGTCCTATGTTTAAATTTTTTCAGATGCCATACAATAAAGAACCCTCTAGAATGGAGAGTAAACAATGTTTATGGCCTCTGATTTGGAGTGCTGATGATGATAATAGTGGTTCTCGGCCGATTATTGATAAATGTTATCTACCTTGCCGGTTTGCCTTTTTTATTGTGTTATATTGCGATAACAATAGCAAATGCTTGTATTTTTTATAAGAATGTAATATTCTCAAAAATAAAATAGATTCGACTAAAAATAATTGATTTTCAGATCACCATTACTCAGTTCAAGTTGGTTGCATAGTCAGTTCAAATTGTCATTATTTATTTGCTCTTCTTTTATGTCGTTAATTTGCATATTAACATTCGTAAGTACTTCATTATTATATATTTTCAAAATTTATTAACATTTTTTAGAAGTTGACAAAATAAAATTTATGTTATAAAAATAAAATTTTGACATATGAAAGTAACATATATTTGTTCAAGCCGATTATTAAAATTCTCAAAAGTAACATGTGGGCCTTTTCATTTTTAGCGTTTTTTCAAATTTTGGTTTTAAACTTTCAGATATTATTTAGATTTACATAGCATTCTTCTCTCATCTTTGGATAATAAATCTTTGTGTTTATGCAATCGGCAATGCATTGTTTTGTGCTTTTATGCATTGGGTGCTGTGGATAACTGGATTTTTCAATGGATTTGCACAAAATGCAATGTGCTATGAAGAATTCAGGAAGGATATTTATATGAGATCCAGGTAAGTTATTGCACGTAAAAAATCAATGTAAATCAATTTCTATAGCGAAGGAAGCGGGAATTTAATGGTTATTTGCCAGTGATGAAGAAAACATCCTTGCTCTGCGAGAAAACTCTCCTTTGGGTTTTCAGTGACCTTAAATGGCCTCTGAGGCAATATTTTAGTATAAAAATATTTCTTAAATATAAATATTTAGTATATATAGAGTAATCAATAATAATTTTAGAAAGTAGCAAGTATTTTAAGGTTTCTTAGTTATAATGAGGTTTTAGTTTTTGTGAAATGTCAGTTTATTATATGATTGTATAATTATAGTTTTTTCCTGTAGAAACCATTTTAAAGTCGTTTTCCCACTTGTTTTTTTGTTTAAATTAATATTTTCAGGATATTAATGGAGTGGTGCTTAATTCAGTCATGGTTGATGCACTGTTTTATTTTGTCGGGGTTTTTTTGGATACTTTTACTTATTGCTCTTCGCATAAGAAAACCCGTTATATCCGGTGATCATCTTATTAAGATAGATGAACATACTGCAATCAGTTATCGTTGCATTTTTCTATTTATATATTTGTTAGCCGGATTATTCGCCACTTTTGCTGTGTGGATGAATGCAGTAAGTTTTTTTTTTTTCAAAATCCAGTCTAAAAATATTAATAGCTTTTCTATACTTAGATTTAGTATGAAAATATTTTGAGTGAAATCATTTAAGCTGAAATTTTATTTTATTTTATATATTTTATTTTATGTTTTCGATTAAGTTTTGAATTTTCAGCCTGAATCTGATGGAATAAGCGGTGTCTGCTATGTTGGATTGAAAAATTTCAAAAAAGGATTCTATATATATTTCCCAATTCTTATTGCATTTATTATCGCCATTTTTATTCCTTTCCTTTGTTCTTGTCGTAAAGGTAAGATTTCTTTTTGTAATAAGATTTTGCTCACTTCTTAGTCATTATAAAAATTGATAAACTTATCTTTATTTGTATATTCAAGGAGAGACTAAACTAGAATCGGAATTAACTTGTACGACAGGGCTAATATCCGAAAATAATTCATCAGCAGCACAGAAATTATCCTCGGCCAAATCTGAACTGATTACTGGTTCAAAAACAGGTTTCTAATTTTTCTCTAAAGGTAGGATTTCCTTCACTTTTTATTTTTTATTTTTTCTTAAATTGCAGATATTTCGATGAATAGATCGAGTGATTATACCTTTATTAATTATGATAATTTTATGAAAAATGCTCGTTTTGATGGCTGTGGTCATGCAGCAATCTCAAATTTTTGGCTAGGTACAGAAAAAATTTTATAGAATTATTATATTTTTGTCGTAATATACCGTTATTATTCTTGTCCATCATTAGATAAATATTCGATTTATCATGCACTTTAAATATTGATTGCTTTCTTAGTCTAAAGTTAATTTTCCTTATTTAAAAAATATTTTTTTCTTATTCTTATCAGTAAATATTTTTTATTCTATCATTTTTGAGGCATCATATGCTTTTCCATTTGCTTAGCAATTTCGCTTTCATCAATAACGCATTTCACACTCAGCATGGATGAAAAGGACGAAAATCATCTCATTTTGCAGTCAATTAAGTAAAATTTTTATTTTTTTATTTCCTGAATAAAATGAAATTTATTATTAAAGAAAGAAGGATATTAACGTAAATTAAATGGCAAAAATTTGAGAAGACAGAAAAGTTTCGGTTCAACAATATCTTTTTTCCACTGATAATAATACCGTTTAAATTCATGTGGTATGATGCACGCTAATTTTAATTTTTTAATTATTTTATTTTTTTGCAGTTGTTCTTTAAATAAAACAATTATGGAGGATGAACACGAATGGTTTAAAAAGTTAGAGCAAAGCGACAGTTTGGTTCTAGATGCTCTGGAACGTCGTCAAAAAATTAGCGATGGGTGCACTTTTTTGATGGTATATTAGATAAGATAATTCTTTTAAGTTCTTTTTAATATTATTTTTTTAATTGAACGATTTGGAATAAGTGAAAAAATGGCTCATTGATCTGGTCTTGTTCCCCTCATTTCTGAGCATCTCTATAATTCTCTTCCCTACAGGAGTAAACCCGTATTCAAAAGTTCGGGTGATAATGGCAACATCGCATATATATTTATATTTATTATATATATATATATTTATATATTTATTGCCAAGTGAATTCTTGGCGAAATTTGTCCACTCCGATAATGAGAAGCAAAGTCAGAAATGGTGGATTTCAAAAATTTTTTAGAAAAAAGAAAAGAAATTTAGATTGAGAATGTCGGAAATCAGTTAGTAATTTGATGTATTATGGTTGGATTTTTTTTATTTTAATCATTTTCTTTTCAGCTCTTTACATGCACCTGGATGTGCATTACCAATGATAAATGATGGTCGTCTTCTGTTAATTCTACTTACTTTTATTGTTTTCCCTGCTCTTCCTTTCCTTGTTTTAATTGCTTTTGTTCTATCTGGCTTCTGTGGTTATGGATTAAAAGGAATTAATCATATCCGAAAAAATCTGAATCCTTTCGTTTTGGACAGTTTATCAGAAAGTGGCGATAGTGAGAAGTAATATTTGTTCTAATTAATTTAAATTCAACTCAAATTTTTTCCGAATCGTCAGTATGCTAATTCTACAAGAATAAGGCATTTCCAAACTTTCTTTTGGTGTATTCGATCAATCAGTTTAATTCAAGTGATTTAATTTTGTACTTCTATCAGGAATATTTATCGGGTGCAACAAGCCAGCGTAGCAAGTCTAACCAGTGATGGTGAAAAAAAATAGTGTAGTTATTTAAGAATTTTATGGGTACATATGCCTTGGGCAAGAATGGTCGCAGTAGCTTCTTGACGTTTTCTACTCTTATTTTGGAATTGTGAAAATGGTATTCTTTGTAGCCTGGTATATGCAAACTTTCACTTTGATAAAGATTTCATATTGCGCATATGCAAAGATTTCGTTTGATAGAAGGAAACATTTTTGATTGCACCTATCTGAGCTAGAATTTACTGCATGGCCATTTGTGTATCCAAGATATTTGGAAATTTTTATTTTTTTGGCACATTTATGAATATAAGTATTTTACCAGATTATAGTATATAATTTAAAAAGTTTTTATCTTATTTACATTAATTTGGAGCTTATTATTAACTGTAGACGCACTTAAGATATGATTTGCAGGAATATTACTGGTAAATGCGAGGAATATGAGTTGTTGCCTAATTCATCATCTCTGCATAAAGAAGGAAGCAATACCACGTTTGAATATGCGTCAGATTTACAAAAGCGTAGCTCATCGGCAACGGAAATCAATCGATGTTGTCGTCTTAGTTCGTTTGGTAGCCAACCTCATAGTGAACCCAATGTAAAGCGATCAAAGCGCAATAGAAGCCGAAAGTTATTCAATTTCGCTTCTTTTTTTTCATTTCTGAGAATTTTTTTATGAACTGATCGCTTCTGAAAGGTTTTTATTTCCTGTTTAAACGATTCCTTTTTTTGAAATAATTTCGAACCACTAAAAGTCACAATAATTTCTGAAAATTTGTCGAAAAATTATTGAAATTATTTTTAGTGTGAAATCGACGTTGGTGCTAGTATATGTCAATTCATTAGTTAGGATTCACTTAGAACCCATTTATATCTCTATCTTCAATGACAGTGGGAGTGGAATAAGCAAACCAGAAATATTATTAGAATATTTCCTGAAACATACTTAACAATTACAAAAATTAAGCAAAATTTGCTGGACAATTATTATTTAGATTGAATCTGTTGGAACGTTATGCCCAAGAGAAAAAACAATATGGAAATATTACCCATTCTATGTCCAATACACAGAGTTCTCAACCACATTCCAATTATCAGATGGTCACTTTTAAAATTATTTTAGCCATTATTTTACTTTATTTTATTTTACTGCTTATCTAATTATTAAAGTTCCATACTTCTTTGCATGGGACTGCCTTGCTGCCTTGATATCATTGTTTTCACGTAAATTTTTTATATTAATGTCCAGTCAATTCCTAAGTTACAGAGTTCGGAAATCTGCATTTTCCTTGGTTTAAATTTTTGTAGAAATTATTTTGTCTGGATTTTATTTTTGTTTAATTCCTCTTTATTCATTTTAGAAAAGAAAAATTTTGGATTAAATGCTTCATTACTATTTATAAAACATGGGTAGAATTTAATCGGAATTAGTATGATATGAACGTTTGAAGTATATATGTGATATGTGAAAAAGAATAATTTGCTTTCGATTTTTTCATTTATTTAATTAAACATCGATTCATCGATTCTTTCATCAAGTCATTTCAGAACTTTAGAAAAATTATCTTATTATTTTCAATTTTATTCCTTCATGTTTCGTTTTTTTGTATTCTTATTCGTGATTTCAGTTAAATTCATCAGATATTTGTGACTGGTTTCACTGCAAACCTCAAATAGACAGTGAATTGCAAAGTTTATATTCATGTGGCTTTGATGGCAATCTTTCTGGTTTGAATTTAACAGGCACTAGCAGTCAAATGAAAACTTTATCAGATGTATGTTATCTATATAAAGATTACATATATTACATATATCTCCAATAATTTCCAAAAAAATAGATTCTTCCTTAATAACATTATTGTAAAAATTTTTAACTGTTGGATTTGAAAAAAAATTGATATGTTTATTACCATCTTAATAACCATCTGTTGTTGCCATTCAGCCTGTTGATTGGAAACGATTTCAGTCATCAGCTGTGTTATTAGCTTATCAAAAAGGTCTCTTGGAAGGACATTGGCAGGAACGTTGTAACCAATATATGGGACAAATTGCAACATTAACGGAAAATCTTAAATTAGCAGATGAGGAATTGCAACGGCTTACTACATTATTTTGTAACAAGAAGTCTGGTACTATTGAGGCGGAATCGCAGACATCTGTTTCCGCATATATTTGTTCTGGTTAATTTTATTTGTTTTTTTAAGATAATTTTTTATAGATTTTACATATTACATAAAATTTGATGTTTTAAATAAAATTTGTTTATTCGTTTTAATGTTGATTGTTATCTGCTGTTTTAGAAAGCGGTAATAGTTCTACTATGACGAAACACCACCATTCCAAAAAATCCGAAGCCATGTAAGTTTTTTGAAATTGAAATTAATTCATTTGCCTACTCGATATTGTGAGATTACAGGGATTATATCGATGGTTCTACAGTTGATGATTTAAATCGAGTGCGAAGTGGCTCAACAAAAGATTGCAGCACTGAAGTTGGGTCTACTCGGGAAAATTCTTTAGTTGAGGAATCTGAAAATAGTAACACGTTTTTATCTGATGAAGAGGATTCTGAAGAAGAAAAGCTTTTTTTACAAACAGTAATTTTTATATTTCTTTGTTCAAGAAAAGTGAAAGAAAATGCTAAAGAAAATTATGACATTTTGGATGTTATATTCATTCATAGTTTTCTTATAGATTCAGAAGCGTGGAAAAGTAGAAAGTGGAATAGAATATGGTATATCACAATCGTGTTCCACTTCATCTAAAGATAACACGGTGCCTTTTTCTTATTTATAAGTTATTTATAAGTTGTATATTTCTTATATATTTGTAGATCTCCATTTTTTCTAATTATATTTATTAATTAAAATTAAAAAAGACGATGTTTTTAGCCATCGGAATCAACATTCTCCATCGTGAAAAGCGGAACATCATCGTTTAGCAGTCCAAAACATATTGCTCAACAATTATCACTGACTCCTGATCAGCAAAGGCAGTTGACTGAATTAAGGCGTTCAGTAACAGCAAGTGATATGCTTCATTTGAGCGATCATTTTCGCTTATTAGCGCAACGCATTCGTAATCAAGATATGATTTCAAGTCGCACGAAAAATAGGTGAGATTTATCGAAAAATAAATGAAGTAAAATTTTTTGTAGATATTGAATTCAAGATAGCGTCTTTCATGAAGTACGGGAATAATCTAATTATTCATTGATGTTCTCAAAATTATTTTTGGATGAAAAATCTTTTTCAGGCCTTTAACTATCGAGGAAGCTGGTGAAGAGAATGATGAATCTGAATAATAAAAGATGAAATGAGTTAAGTGTCAAATGAAAATGAAAATATATATCAAACTAGTTATTTACTGGTTTTACTGGTTTTCAGCTTCAGTTCCTTGAATAGTAAGAATGTTTTTTTTATTTTCTTAGATATTTCTGAATAGCTTTAAGAATTTTTATTAAAAGCTGCTATTTGTTATTATTTTTTATTCATTTGTTTTCCTTTTTTTGCATGCTCTCATATTTCTTTCTTCCTTTTTGGCAATTTTATTCAAATTTATGCTATTATTAATAGTTTCAGCCAAAACGCTAATATGGTTGCTGTTTTATAAAAAAGAAAAAAATTAAAATTTTATCGATTTGATTAGTTGATTGGTTTAAGTACAATGGAAAATAAGGAATTTATTTACATTTTTGTTTTTTTATCTTTTTTGCATTTTTATTCATTTTTTTATTTTTGATATTTATCGAACGCGATTGAATGGACTAACTATGAGTTTTCTCAAATGCTTCATTTTATTTGTGATTCTCCGTAATGCGGCTATATCTAAATTAAACGTTTTTTGATAAGGATATCCCTTTTATTTTTGAAATTTCTTTGACCTTCTGACGTGTTTGGTGGTATTTCTGACCAATGATCGAATGAAATTTTATAAATTGAAAGTTTAAATATCAATAATTGATTAAAATTTAATTTGAAAATGCCAGGAATACCAATAAAATTACGGGTGTATACCTTTATTTTGTAAGTTATTTTCGAATGTTGCATATTATAATTTTTGGTTGATATTTTCATTCATCAGTGAAATAAGTTAAAGTTTATCGGTGCTTATCAAATTTACCAAGGCTTGGATAAGCCAGTTCCTTTAAATTTGTGGATATTCGGAATTTCTGGATAATTTGTTTCTTTATATCAAGTTTTGTCGTTATTTTCTCCTTTCGATGGAAATTTTAGACGATGGAGTGAGTTTTTTTTAATGAAATCTATTCATTCTTCGTTTGTCCTTTAAATTTATAGGTGTTATATAAATGCACAAATTTCAGTATGTTTTATGTTTTTTATTCTTTTATGAATATATTTCTTAAAAGCTGCCAATGTTTTATATTTGATCATAATAATCTATGTTCGAAAATTCGGGTTCAAGTCCTAATTTTTATTAAATTTGGTTAAATATATTTTTAATAAATATTTTATAGTTGTTTTCTATGCTGTTGTGATATTCAACTGGCATATTTTCCACGATTTACATCCAGACAGAAGAAAAGTATCGAAATTATTTGTAGTGTGTTACATTGGTCGGATCTTAAAACTAAAACCAAAAAGTATTAGTTAATTAAAATGTTAAGTGAATGTTATAAGTGAAATTGGAGTGATCTCTTGGGGTGGGTGAAGTAGAGTGGTTCAGATTATCGTGTTGCTGCTAGGCAAGAACAAGTCATCTTGGGAGATAAGTGGTAATCTTATTCTTCTAATAGCGCACAATAGTGGTATTCTAGGAATGAGATGTTTCCAAGCCTCTCTCAGAATCCGAATTCACTGTCTAAATTCATCCTACTGTACGATTGTCTGAATCTTTTTTACTATACCGATTGGGCACAGTTTTTAGCATTTGTATGATGGAAGACGAAAAACCATGACAAAGCCAGCGTAAACGATGGTTTTAATCCTAATATTCGATGAATGCAGTTGTGTAGGTTTTCATTCGATGGTGTCTTTAGCTTGGACCGTGAAAAGTAAAACATGGCTTGATATCTTCCATTCTTATTCGTTGTTTCGCAGCCATATTGCAAGTTTTGCATAATTACGAATTTTCGTTTACGGTTGTGCAACGATTTTGGAGTATTCCGGAAGTAGAAGAATTGGAAGAGTGGAAGTGGAAGACTATCAGGTATTGGGATTTCGTCTGCTGCTTAGCCATTTGTTATAATGGATCAAGGAAAATTTGCACTCTTTTAATGCATTTTTGAATGTGTAGGCACTTTGGTCAATATTTTACATATAAAAAATTCGTTTACAGCAATCTGGAGTTCTTTCTTGCCGGCATTGGATATGTGGCCTAGCTTTTGTTGTAATTCCTGTAGTTGTTGCAGAAAATGAGTCCACAATCAGCATATTCAGGGTTCAAGGATAATCCAGCCATCCTCAGGATTTCCATCCAATAATTGAATATTATAGAAGAATTTGGTATATATATTTATATTATTTCGAAATGCATTCCATGATGGAGTGTCTTAATTAAACCTAATTGTCTTCTCTGGATCGCCAGAGGTCGTGTCGCATTGTTTGCCAGAGCTTTTTTATTAGCAGATCAAAAATAGCAGTAAAATCGACAAAGGAAATGAAGGATATACCCTAGTTCCTCGATAGTGAATGATTGTTTTACAATAGCAATCAATGAAGGCAACCAAAAATAAAATACTGGATAAAGTTGAAGAAACATAGGGTGATGTTGGTTCAAATGCCTATATTAGTTGGTCTTATTTTTTATTTATTAAAGGATTTATTTTCTATGTTAATATTTAATATTTAAGAAGTTTAATATTTTGTTCGAGTTCGAATTTTTTGTCAAAAAATGTTTATCGAATTGTTTTCTTTGATTCATTTATTTTATGTAAATGACGATGATTTTATAGATTTGATAGCAAATGCAGTTGATTGGACTATGCCGAGATTTCAGATTGCCATTAGTTTTTATGACTCGGTTTTCAGGTTAAATTTTTTTGTTGAAATATTAAATTCGGGCCTTTTAACCTATTTGTCATTCCTTTTCTTGGCCTTTTTTATAAACTTTTTTTCGAAATTTTCGTTCTCAGATTTTAAAATCACGCTCTTATTGCTCCATCATTTTCCATTTTCCATATATTTTCTAAATAAGTGGCTGGATTATTGAGTTAACAGAAGTTGAGATTAATTATCATTAATTAATTTTCAAATTAAGAGGCAGGAAATCCTTCTTCCGCCCTCAATAAAGATAAATCTATCATTATGGATTTTGGCGACCTATATTTCTATTTCTATCTCTAAATGACTTCTTGACAAAAATTTCTAACCGTACTAATAGCCAGAGGAACTAATTAACCAGAAATAGTAAGAGCTAATCACTTATAATATATTTTTTATTAATAATTAGAAATATTATGTTTATTTTCTTTGGCAGATTTGTGTTTTCAGCATTTAAAATAATTTGTTTTAACTGATATCTTAAAAGGTTCTGGTTTGTTGGTTCATCGTGATCAGCCTAATAATAATGCAAAAACACCCTTTGAATTCACTGCAGAAAATTTGAAAAGAATAAAAGCGGTAATGAACAATTTTCCTGAAGGCTATAAAGTAAGTTGATTTCTATTTAATGAGAATATATGGGTTCATTAAGAAGTTTATTAAGCGAATTTCTATAGCATTAGTTATTTCTTAGAATTTAATTTTTTATTTGGGATTAAATTGTAAAACCATATTTACTTACTTAAGGGCAACTTGATTTCTATTGTTTAGTTTGAGTAAATCTGTCGTTAAAAGTGAAGTGCATATGGTGCTGCAGATCTACTAATAGCTCTGTTGTGATGCAAGCCGGAAGTAATATGTAGTGTTGAAAGGAAAATGAATTTTACATTATTATTTCCATCATTATTTGCGTTATAGTGTGGTGCACTTATACCCGTACTGGATATCGCTCAGCGACAGCATGGATGGTTACCAATATCTGCAATGCATGAAGTTGCTCGAATACTTGGTTAGTATGAGAATTATTCCTGCTATATTTCAAATTAATCAAAAGATGCAAATTACCATTTGTATCTCTAACATTTTAGGTAGTTTCATCGTTTGTTTTTGACAATAATTCTACTTTTTCAAGGTTGTCAGTGAATTTTTTTCATTATTTCGAGTCTAAATTTATTTTAAGAAATCCCACGCATGAGAGTATATGAAGTAGCCACATTTTACACGATGTTCAATCGACAGCCGGTTGGTAAATATTTTCTTCAAGTTTGTGGCACTTCACCTTGTATGTTAAGAGGTGCGGAAACCATCATAGAAACTATTTCGAAGAAACTAGGTGAGAGGATTTTATTGTGTCTATGATAAAGGTTGTTTTCATATTCTTTTTCTAGTTTCTTCATGATATTCAAAAAATTTTTTGGAATAAATTCTTCGATTTTCAATTTTCGATCACAGTTGTTTTATCCCCTTTCTGTTTGCTGATAAAATATCCCTTTATCTAATTAAAATTTAACATAGTATAAGAAATCTCAGCGGTGACAGTTTCATTTATAGGAATAAAGATTGGTGAAACCACGCAAGATGGTCTTTTTACTCTCACTGAAGTTGAGTGCTTGGGAGCATGTGTGAATGCCCCGATGATGCAGGTAAATCTTATCTTAATTTACAGCATCTAGATCGTCTGTTTGCGTTTCTTTACTATATTATATCTCTCTTCTCTTATAATCTGTATCTCTTATATATCTCTTATAATCTGCTTTATATCATTAGATATATTTAAAGTTTTTCGCTGTTCCACGCTATTTTTAAAGCCTTTTCACCTTTACTTTGGTATTATAAAGCAGGTATAAGAAGTGAAGAACTCATTTCTATTCCATAATATTTCCGTAATCGATTGGTGTATTCTTTTTTTATATTGCCTGGTTTAATTTTAAAACTAGATTATATATTAACTAGATTTCTGAATATAGTCTCATTATCGCTATAATTATTGTGTGCAAATTTTTTTCCATAATAGCCTCTAATAATTGCTTTTATTTTAGGTCAACGATGATTTTTATGAGGATCTCACTCCATCCGCTACGGAAGAAATTCTTGACTCTTTCAAGAGTGGTCAGAGACCACGACCGGGCCCAGTTAGTGGTCGTCTTGCTGCTGAACCTATGGGTGGGCTCACTACATTGAAAGAACCTCCTAAAGGTCCGGGCTTTGGCATCCAGCCTGGTTTGTGAAAGTGTGCTCTGTAAATATGTAGATTTAAACATTTTTCTCATATATCTTCTCACTTATCTTATTTTAACATAAGTTATCACTGAGTCGATATGATAATAATGCATAAATAATAAACTTTCAAGTTTTTCAAGTTTTTATCTCAATCTAACGATTTAAAACTAGTTTCTGTTGCGAAAACATTAATAAAAGTATAAAAAATTGAAAAATTCTTTCAATAAAAATTGAAGCATATGTGAAACGAGTGAATTGATTCACAGAGTTTTTTGCAATGAAGAAACGATGGCTTCAGAAAAGAAAAAACAAGCTCGATAATTTCTTAAGACGGATATTTTAGGAAATTAATTGATTGTTAGTCATGCTATGCGGAAAAAAAAATTTTCCAGTTTCGCTGGTTTCGATTTGTTTCGGTAGGTTGAACTCTCTATAATAGATTGATAGCACAAAAAAAATTTGAGGTTTGGACCAGTTATTGCATGGACTCATGCATCGACTCATCGTGGTTCCGTTATTGTTTGCCTCTTAATTCATTTAATCTGCGATAGTAAAAAGAAAAGTGGTAATTTAGTTTTAATATTTGCTTTTAGACAGAATTAATAGACTTCAAATGATCTAAATTCGCTTCTTCGCCGAAACTAAATTATATCTATGGTGACATCTTCGACCAAGTAATTAATGGAAATCAGCGCATGCCTCCATATCTCTAAATTGTCATTTCACCATAATAATCAGTGGTGATAAGAAGTGGTGCATGGTGCAAAAAAAGAAAATTCTTTAAAATGAATTTATAAAATTAGACATTTGATGATTGCAGCATCTATAAAGAATCTCGGTTTAGTGTTCGTCTTTGAATTAATCTAGATGGGGAGTTAGCTGAGATAAAGGAAACCGGTCGCAACCTCTTCGTGCATATACTGGTTTTTTCTAATATATATTCTTGAATGTAGATAAGTACGGATCTCATTGTTTTGCCTATCTATAAAAGGGAAGAGATTTTTAACGTTGAATTGAATTTTAATCGAATCAGTTTCTCAAATTTTCAGTTTTCATGAATTTCTTCCTTTAAAATTTTTTTCTCTTTGCTATTCGGCTTGACACCACAAAATTTTAGTCGGGATAAGTACATCTGAAGATCTGAAGATAACATAGGTGATAGCAACACAATTAGGAGAAGATCGTTCTAACGCTGTGGTTCCATTCATTACTCTTGAAGGTGTATTATGTTTAGCACAAAAAATAATGGTGAATTTTATAAAAGTGTCCGAGCAGAATATTCGATCATGATAATATGCAGCTGAATAAATAATTGTAGTAATAATAGCAATAGAATAAATAATAATGATATGATGATAAGCAGTAGTAATGATAACAAAAATAAGTATTAGCAAAGATAAAATAATAATAGCAATTTTATAAAAATAATAATAAATAATAAAATAATAGTAATAATGATGACAATAAAAATTAATAAAAAAATAAATTTATTATTAATAATAATAAAAGCAACAATAATAGTGATAATGAAAATAATTAATAACAAATAAATACGTTAGGGAAGTAAGAACCATTTTAAATAATTTTCTTTCCTAAAGTCATTAATTTGCGTTTTATGCTGAGTTCCTTCGGCTAGGATAAACGGCGATGCTAACGGCTCACGCGCTACTCCTATCGTTAAATAATTCGCTGACAAAATTTATCTGCCTCGATCAGCGAGCCTAGCTGATCAACGGGCCTAACCAAAAGCGTAGAGCGCTCTTGGAGAAAAAGAAAACAATCCTCGGACTGGAAGCCGACCATAACTTCACTGAAAACAAACAAGGGATTTTTGACCCCTTGGACACCTTATTCTATATTTTATATTCTAAGGAGCACCTTATGACCAGTGACCCTCTCTTTTTACGTAAGTGATTGACGAGCTAATCGAACCGCATTCCTTATTTGCTAAGTAATTTTATGGAATAGTCCCGAAAATTAAGTGGAGTTCATACGGTAATTTTATTGAATCATCCTGAAAATATTTTAAGATGACCGCTAAAACGGCAGCTTATACAGCAATTGCATGCAGTTTATTATCGCTAATTGCATGTTTAATCTTTTTACCGACTATTTATCGCAAATTGGTCGAAATACAAAATGATCTCGAAATGGTAGGTGGTGAATTCATTTTCTTCTTCTTTCTAACACGGTGAGGGTATCCTTCCAATATCGATTAGTCTGGCACCACTGATTAACACGGTGAGGATCTTTTTGCCGGGCAACCACTTCAAAGATACAACTACAGTTGAGTCCTCAGTAGTTAGCTAACGTTTCAACAAGATGATAAGATAAATTAGCTTTTTCCAATGATTCAAATGGTTGTTAAAATATTTGATTTCGTAGGATATGAGAGAATTTAATGAAATCGAAACAGATATTTATACTTATGCGCAAGAAAAATTCACCACAAATTCACCATCATTTCGGATACATCGAAGTAAACGACAAATAACATCACCAGGACGATGCAGTTAGTTTCTTTCCTTAATTTAGTAGAGAAAGTGCTATGGAGAAACCCCTCCCCATCACAAATTCCTCAGAAAATTAGAGGTGCGGGAAGATCCTCAGGAATATGACTTTGTCTTTCTGCAAATATGAAATAACTAACTTTTTGAGTGGTTTCTGAACGAAATTTATAAGCTATTTCATAAATAAAATTATCTTTCGAGCTTACATAGTTTTCTTGAAGATGAATTTAAATATATGAATAAATATATTAACGCTACTTTGTTTTAGATTGTATTTCACAAAACACGTGCCCTCCAGGGCCGCCAGGACCACCTGGGATACCAGGCTCAGATGGTACACCTGGACGACCAGGGTTGCCTGGCGCACCTGGCATACCTGGAAACTACCCACCAGTGGCAATAAACTTAGATGCGAACTGTCGTATATGTCCAGGCGGTAGCCCAGGATTTCCAGGTACTTAACAAGTGATTAATTATGCGTTAACCATTTGTTCATAAAAAATATAGAATGAAATCCTTTCAGGATCACCCGGATTGCCTGGACAAGCAGGAGAGCTAGGACCACCAGGCCCACCTGGGCCCAGAGGAGAGCCTGGATTCCCTGGACCACAAGGTCAACCAGGACCAGCCGGTAAATAATTTTCTATATTTTCTTTCGCTGACTCATACCTATCTTCTGCAAATTTTAACAGTTCTATCGCCGCTACTGTAAAACCAATAAAATCTTTGCAGGAGAAATGGGAAGTGCTGGTAAGAATGGTCCACCAGGCCCACCAGGCCGAGGAGGATTTCAAGGAGGAAAAGGTGAACCAGGAACACCAGGCCAAAAAGGTCCTCTCGGTCCACCAGGAATTCCAGGTCAAAACGGCAATGATGGAAACCAAGGATTTAGTGGTCCACAAGGGCCACCCGGACCACCAGGTGAGCCTGGCGCTCCAGGCCCCGATGGCGTCCCTGGTCCGATCGGACCATCTGGAGGACCCGGTGAAGATGCTTCGTATTGCCCCTGCCCACCTCGAAAGAATGTCGATTCGTCATAAAGAAAAACTAGCAATTTTTCGTTAATCTATGTTAATAAATGTTTTGAATCGCAATCAATCATCAGCCACTAAAGAAAAATTGACTGCACCTGAAAAAGCAATCTCTCAAACCTAGATTTACAAATAAAGTTGACAAAAACCCAGATTTCTTGAAAGATCAACTAAAAAAAGACTGCGACTAGGCTGCAATCTCAAGTACAAACCACAGTTAATAGATGTCACAGGTACAAATCGTAATGAAATCTTTATATAATCTATAATTCTCAATTTAGACTTTTCTTGCAAATTACGAAATAGAAAAGATTTGCGATAAAATTTGCCAGTAAATGAAAATGAAAATAATTAAAAATTTTATCATCCATAACTTTTCAACAAAAAATAACAAATATTTCATATTTATTTAGCCTTTTTGGCACGTATCTTACGAAGATAAAATTCTAATTCTTTGCCTTCTAATATATAACCATCAGCGCGTCCAACCTGCCCTGGCCGAGAGCTAATACAAGCTGAAAAAAAAAATATATTTGTTGATATTTGAAAGCAACTGATTTTTAATTTGTTCATTTTCATAACTGGATACCACTAAAAAAATAAAATGAAAAGGAAGTTACGTCAAAAGCAAAAAAATCTCATTTAAAAAACCATACCAAGAAGGCGACCACTCTGAAATTGCTCAATCAAGTGCGGTTCCACTTCAGCGATTTTTTGTCTTTTTGTATATTTTTCTTGTGTATCCTTTGAACGTTTCTTATTAATTCGAGCTTCCTCTTCATCTGTAAGCTTTGCACCTTTTTTTCGTGCTAACGGTAAAGCATAATGGGCTTCATACCATTGTCTAAACGGTACAGCGTCCACCGTAATAATGGAATTCTTAACTAATGTCTTCGTACGTACTAACTCGTTGTTTGAAGCGTTATAAACGGTGTCAACAATACGAGTCTTGCGAGTACATCCTGTAATAGAAATTTTAGGAATAATGCCAAGTTTTAGATAAAAAGTATTAAATTAAATATTAAATATTATAAACGTAAAAAGAAGTAAACCTTCCGATGCCCATGAAAATGTTCCAACATCTAATCTAAGAGCGCGACGCTTAATATTTCCACCACGGCAGCGTACTAAATGAATACGTTTCGCACCGATCTAAAATCGGGTTAACTTTTTGAATTTCGCCAAAAAATTTAAAATCATTAAAAATTGAATATGACATATGAAAAAAAAATATGAAAAAAGCTTTATTTCGCTCATTTAGAAAATCAAGCACAGCGAAAAACATACATTTATACATTTATAATTATAATTACATTTATAATTAATTACATTTATAATAGAAATATAACCACTGTACTTAATTAGATGAAACTATTATACTAAAAAAAAAACAGTAAAAATGGATTGTTCATGCTAAATAATATAGCGAATGATTCTCTGATAGAGCGGAAGCCATCAAAGTAGGTTTCAATATTCAATGTAGCGAATGAAGAAGATATGAAAAATAATTTTAGTTTTACAAGCGAGTTTGTCTTCAATCCATTATCTCAAATAATTTTAAGTAGAGGAAATAGAATAACTAATTTTTTATGAAAGAATTTAGAAGGAAATAATCTTTTGTTGTTAATTTGTTTTATAAAAATTTTTTATTTATTTTTGTTGTAAATGTTTGGAAACTTATTTTATTTAATTTTAAATTTATATCTATAAATTTTATATCTATATCTATTGAATTTATATCAAATTTTAAATATAAGTTTATAAACTTATATTTATAAGTCTTACGTTCTCGTTTAACGTTTTACGTTTTACGTAAATTTATTATATGATCCTGAATTATTTGAACTAGATTTGAGTATCGGAGGTTCTGCTTAACCACAGAATTCAAATATTTAAAACGTTTTTTAAATATTTTAAAATGTTTGAGAATTCCTCATTATTTCAAAGCCACATTTTAAACAAATTGAAGAACCACAAAACCATGTTAAACTCGGATGAACCAAAACCACCAACTCTTACTAAAATAAAATATAGTGCCCCAAAAATCTAAACTCTAAACCCTCATCAAAAAAGTTTAAATTTCGTTTATTATTAAAATAAACACATTGCCGATATGATAAAATGATAAACACACAAGATGTGAAAACCCAGAAGATCAAAAATAGCTTCCCACTACTCTAAAACCAAAAGTATGAGTCAGTTATAAAGTGGTAAAAAAGGCTGTCACCGAGGACCGCTCCAGCCGATCTATCACGCTTCTTCAGGAAAATAAAGGTAGAATGGGTGATCGTTGTTCTACATTCGGCAAAAATTAATTTCCCCACTCCCACCACAGACCCTGATGAATCATATTTACTTTTTTCGCTATGCAATTTCCTAGCAATATTTGCCTGGTGCGACAAACCACTTAAACGAATCTAACCAACAGTCATTCTTATAAAAAGCAGATAAAACGAAAAATTAAAAATATCTTATACTATATAAACCTATCATAAACATCTCTATCATCAATCTTCTTCTAACAATCAATAAACAAAAAAAATTGAAACTAAAATAATAATAGGTTTATCTTTGCCGAGGATGAAAGTAGGATTCCATGACTCTAAATGTGATAATTAATCTCAATGTCTCAATCAAAATCGTAAAATCGTAATTTTAGACTGGAAAAATCCAATATATTTGAACTTCCTGATCTTTAAAAAATTCAAATTCACTCAACGAAGGTTAATCTAACTAACTTACATTTAAGAGAGGAATAGACTGCATTTCATTCCAAGTAAACCTTGCAATCTAAGACGAATCTACACAGTTCCCTCAAATGCCACTTATGTTTAATAGCATTCCCACATAAGATGCTTTGCTAATCATAGCTGATTTTTATGATTTTATTATCGCTGCAAAAAATTGAGAACTTGAAAAACATTAATTATGAATTTGAATGAATTTGAATTATGAATTTAAATATGAATTTATGATAACCTTAGTATTAGATGCAGGTCGACCCAATTCGTATTTTCTCCTTTTATGAGGGGCAGAACGTTTTCCACCTGTTGCACGTCGCTTATGCCAGTTATCACGAGAAATACCCATATCCTTCCACAGACAACAATTTCAACTTTACCAAATCCAAATGCAAATCTTAAATGAGAAATTCTCGCATACCATTTGAACCATTCCCGCGAAAAATGAAGACAATACCCTCTACAACGCAAGGAAATTCAATTTTTAGCAATGCGACAACCATTTTGCAGCAATGCGTGAATAAGTGCAGAACAGAGGTTCGAGGACCCATCATGCACTAACGATTCCTTTTCCCTTCGCTGACAGGCAGAAGCCTTTATTTGCCAGTTAAACCAGAAAGCCCAGTGCGTTAGAAAGGCAAAAGACTCCGATATACCTTATCTGGTCAAATATTCGCTAATAAAAACCATAAATTCTTTAGCTCATTCAGAAATGCTACCGATTAAAATTAATTGACGGTTAAAAGCTTACGCAAAAAAACTGTCACTGAAAACGAGGTACTTTTCGTCTATATGGCCTACGATATGATGGCGCATGCGACATGGCATATTTTTGCATGCGCTTACCTTCCTCTCCTTCCTCTTCAAACAGATGGCAGGTTCTGAGCCCCGCTAAGTAACTGAAAAGCAAAAACTCACAAGACTACGACAAAACCCCTCATTTTCAAAATCAAGAAAACACAAGGTCTACCGTAATAACTAGAGAACAACAAGGGGCAAATTCAGGAAATCACGTTGAGAGTCCATTTTTTTGAAATTATGCGCGAAAAACCTGTGGTTTGCTTTAAATTTAAATTTCTTTTTGTTCCCATCGATCGATATTTCTTTACTTTTTTGGTGGCGTAGTACCACGACTGGAAGTATATAATTGAGTTGCGATATGTCTCCTTGCCGGATATATTTCTCTTTAGCCCACAAAACTCAGTATTGTGATCCCCTTGAAGAATTGGACTAATTTTTATGGTATTACGCTTCTTAAATTCTAGTTTTCTCTTCTATTTGATTTATTTTCGTTATTATCCTTATCAGTAACATTTATTTGAATTTACGTTTTGCATTTTTAAAGGTAAGATCTTCAACACGGGTTAAAGGTCATCAGCAAATTTGAAATTTTTCAAGCAGCGAATTGATAAAATTGATAAGCAAATGGATATACGGCATACTCAAGGAATAGTATTGGAATATCTTAATTTCCTTGATGATGAGGTTCGTTTCTTATGCATTTTTCAAAATAAAGTTTATGGCATACTTTTTTATAATTTTAATTTTTTCATATTTGCGAATCGAAATGGTGTATTTATTTTGGATGACCTTTAACCATTCTTGTTATTTGGTCATTTTTTCGTTCCACATTTTAACATTTTTTTTATTTCTGCAAAAAATTTCTTAGCTTAGCTATTAAACGAAACACTGTCGAGTCAGCTTATTCACTGGCGAAGATCTCATCCAAACGCTGGTTAATGATCAAAAACCAGCCAACGAAAGGAGAATTGGTTCACACTAGTAAAGGAAGATATCTTAGTGCACAGTGCTGATCTTCAGATATATTGATTCCTAGCTGGGATATGGAGATTTGAGATGCTAAGCGATTGACTGAGATTTTGCCAATACAAATCGTCGACTATCGCCTTAAGTAATCGTGTTTCTTCCTTTCATTTTTTACAATTTTACTCGCGTGGTAAGATTATTTAATTTTAGCTGATTAATTTTTGTTTAGACAAATAAATAATTCTTATTAATTTTTATTTGAGAATGAGGATCGAATTTATACGTCGAAAGCTGAAGATCTTATCAAAGACGAAGGTTTGCGAATGGTAATAAATATTAACGATGTTAGGCGAAAAATACCGTTTCGAGCCAATAGGTGAGTTATACCTATCATAAGTGTTTGTAAAGGCACGGATAAAATGCAAGTGATTTTCAAAATTCTCGCTTCATTGAAGATTGGAAGTGCAATTTAGGGGTTTCTAGTTACCACTCGGACTTAAATGAGATTTTTAGATTGAAAAGCTTCATTGGATGTTTACGATAGCTTTCTATTTCAACTTCACTAATATATGGCATTTTCAGTCTTATAAAGAATTTTGTTGATGAAATTGTCTGTTTTGAACAGGCATTAAATGATTTTATTACTCGATTAGATGCTGGTTATGCAATGGGGCGACAATTTCATATTGGTTTTGAAGGAAGTTTCGGTGACCGGCATGTAAATCCACGATCACTAAAATCTCATTTATTAGGGAATTTGGTCTGTTGCGAGGGTATTGTCACCAAATGTATGCTTTTTTTCGCTTTAAGATCTTTTCAGTTTTTCTTCATCAGATGTGAATTTTTTAAAATTAAATGCTACTGTATTGTAGGTTCCATAATTCGGCCTAAGGTCGTGAAAAGTGTTCATTATTGCTCTGCTACCAAAAAAACTATTGAGAGAGTATATACCGATTTCACTTCATATGAAGCTTTTCCTTCGAGCAATGTATACCCGACCGAAGTAAATATATATATGTATTTTTATTTTAAAACAGTTTTACTCAGCCAGCCAAGCAATGTACAAATGAAATGGGTTCGTAGCACCACGCTAATTTTATTTTTAATAAAAAAACTACTTTTATCTAGAAAATTTGTACGATGCCGGTTGCTTTCGTTTTGTTTATTTTGCAGTTCTATCATTAATTGAGATGATTTCAACTGTAATTTTTTATTTTTCAAATGAAATATATGAATTAAAGGATGAAAACAAGAATCCTTTGGAAACTGAATTTGGTTTATGCACTTATAAAGATCACCAAACATTCTCTATACAGGTATTTTTTGCTCATTTATTATTGTCTTCTCCTAATATCTGCAATATATGATTAAAAAATTACTCCCTTTTCGCGTACAAAAATGGACTTCTAAAGTGGTAAAATGACTTCCTAGTTTAGACTTCGGTTCCATTCAGGAGCTACCTGAGCATGCACCACCTGGACAGTTGCCACGTTCGCTTGATATAATTGTTGATGAGGACCTTGCTGATAGTTGTAAACCTGGTGATAGAGTTCGTGTTGTTGGATTATACAGATGTCTTCCCAATAAACAAAATGGATTTTCAAGTGGTTCATTCAGGTTTTATTAATTTATTTAGCCATTTTTTTTTTTAGCAGAATAATGAATATTAAGAAATATATATTTTATGCTTGTTACTTGCAAATGGTAATGAGAAAATAAGAAGCAAGGGTATTGTTGATATCTATTTTTTTTTTCAGTGGATTTTTTATAATTTTGGTTTAATTTCAGTTTCTCGTGTGATTTCAGTTTTTTCTTCTTTAAAGAGGATAATTTAGGACGGTGCTTATTACAAATAATGTGCAATTGTTGAGCAAAGAAATGCAACCAACTTTTATGTCCAGTGATATTAGAAATATTCGTCGCTTGAGTAGAAATAAGGTTTATTATTTTATAGATCCAGATCCTGCTATGGATGAATAGAATTTTTTCTGATTTAGATATGCCTTTTTCTATTTCCAAAGCTCATTCTATTCCTTTAAGACTTCTTATCGAATCGAACAGTGTTTAAAGAATCAAGATAAGTTGATTTAATTTAATGACACTGATATCTTTATGGCAAGATTAAAATAATAAGATTTGGTGGAAGATGACGAAAATCCAGCGGCATAGTAAGATATAACAGGTTCCTAAGAAAGCGTTAGGGAGATAAGGCAAGGTTTGTAAAGTTTGATGAATTAGACTGGATCTAAAAGGATTAGATATTTTGGAAGTTCAGATTTTACAGAAAAATAATGGGTTGTAGATGGCATTATTTAACGAAGATTGGAAAAATTTTGACATATATATTATTATTATATAAATTAGCGCTATTAAGATATTTTTTTAAAATTATGTTAACTTACTTTTTTTTACTTGTTACATTTGCTTTTTACAGGATATCATGAATATTCTTGCCAGATCATTAGCACCTTCTATATGGGGACATGAGGAGGTGAAAAAAGCGATTTTATGTTTGTTGCTTGGTGGAACGGAAAAGATTCTTGCTAACGGTTCTCGTCTCAGAGGTGATATTAACATTCTGCTAATTGGAGACCCATCAGTCGCCAAAAGTCAACTGTTAAGGTATATATTTTTCAGCGGATGTTGGTTTTTTTGTGCCATTTGTTAATTAAGACTATTATTTTTCTTTCAGATATGTACTACATACGGCACCACGTGCTATTGCAACTACAGGTCGTGGCTCTAGCGGTGTTGGTTTAACGGCTGCCGTCACTACGGATGCTGATACTGGTGATCGGCGTCTTGAAGCTGGTGCGATGGTACTTGGTGATCGTGGAATTGTATGCATTGATGAGTTTGATAAGGTTTTATACTTGTATATTTTATTCATGGCTCATTTGAAAGTATTTTCTATCGCTCCTACTTGGCTGTTTTTTAGATGTCTGATATCGATAGAACATCAATTCATGAAGTTATGGAGCAGGGAAGAGTTACTATCGCCAAAGCAGGAATACATGCAAAATTGAATGCAAGATGCTCAGTGCTAGCGGCAGCCAATCCTGTTTTTGGGCGAGTACGTAAATTAGAATGAAATGTTAAAATTAAGATTTGATATATTATTTGATATATTATTTAGTTTGGTGATTGCAAGTGTAATAGTGATTTCAGTATAATATTTATAAAAGCCCTATGCACAATATTGGCATGCAAGACTCATTGCTTTCAAGATTCGATCTAATATTTGTAATGCTCGATCAGGTAAACAAACATTCATCCGTTCAAATTTTTTAAAATTATTTCATTTATTTTGCCTGTATCATTTGATTTTGAATATATGTAAAATTAGTATTATATGGTTTTATGCCTCTGAATTTTTTTGCGAATTGCATCTTTTGTTTCACCTTATAAAACTTGTGGTTCTTGGGCCGATCCTAAAACGGATTTTAAAGGATTCACCAATTGCCATAGTGAATTTGTTAATATTTAGTTTTTCAAGCAATTTTGACTGTTTGTGATCCATCAACTATTGTTCTATAAAAATTGGATATTCAAAAAAAATTACTGTTGTACACTTCTTTATTTTTTAGATTTATTACGTAATTTTATCTGTAATTTTTACTGAAAATTTTCTAGCATGATCTGGGACAAGATAAATCAGTGGCAGAGCATATTTTAAAGTTACATCGATATCGTGCACCTGGTGAATCAGAGGGCTCTGTTCTTCAAATGGGTGCGGCAATCGAAACACTTTCAACATTCGATTTTTTGGATGAAGAAGCAAATGTAACAGCAGATATCTATGAAAAGAATAAAATATGGTGTTCAAGTGCACCAAAGTTTGTTTTTTCAAGTCATTTTGTTATATTCTATTATTTTAGATCATTTCATGTTTTATTGTTCAATATTTTTTGCAGCGAAAAAATCTTGACAATGCGGTTTTTACGCAAATATTTGCATATGGCAAAAGGTGTGAAGCCTGTTTTGACTGAAGAAGCTGCCGCATATATTAGCAAGTCGTATACTGAACTTCGTTCCTTTGATACATCCAAAACTGATCAAGAACGGGTGGGCTTGCTGTTTCAATATCTATTCAGTTTATTCATTATTCATTTGTTCATTTAAAATTTTTTCGAATTGTAGACTATGCCAGTGACAGTGCGCCAGCTGGAAACCATGATTCGTCTGGCAACTGCTATGGCTAAAGCAAGATTTTCGAAAGAGGTAGAGCAAGAAGATGCTGAGAATGCTTTTAATTTGCTTCATTTTGCTTGCTTTAAAGAAAAACCAAGAGAAAGACTTGATATGGAAGACCGAACTGGCAGAAAACGGCACCAAAAGGATATTGAAATTGATGAGAGTGATGTTGACGATATGCTCGAAGAGGTTGGTAATATAAACCTATAAACCTTTTTCCTATTAATAATTCAGGTTTTTTTTGCTTTTTAGTTAAAAAATGTGATACGAAGATAAAGTAATATTTTATTGGATTAAAAATGAAATTGAAAATCATGCATTTTGAAGGTAAATGAGCTCACAGTAGATAGCAACAGGCGAAGATCTACTCGGCTTAAACGGTTGGTTTCTTTGAACTTTTTTATTACTCGAATTCACATGAAATTAAATTTTCCGATTTAGGCAGGCTGTGGATACTCAAGATCAGGAAACACAGGATGCGTCCATGGATGTAACTGAGACTACCACCGAGTCAATTCAACATTCTTTGAAGAAACCACGATTAGATATACCAGCGATTAGTGTCGACAGGTCTTTCTCCAATTTTTTAATCTTCATTTCAAAACTTCCAAATTTTTTCATTAGAGCACTATGTTTATTGGCACTATATGAAAGAATTACTGTTTTAAAATCTGGCTTGAACCAATATTAGTATAATTTGATCCAATATAATGAATTTCAATTCAGATTTTGATTTTGATATAGTCGTTGAAACTAGAAAAATGATGCAATTTCAGGTATAAAATTTTCCGAAAATATATTCGAAAAGCTTTTGACGACATAGGACCTACTACTGAGATGATCGAATTGAGCCGAATTCGTGATTCTGTTCAGGTTGGCGATGAAATTTATAAACTCAGTTATATCATAATCATTTTATTTTTTCGGTAAAAGATTGGTTTAAACGTTTGAGCATTTCCTTGATCTATAGGTTTATAGATATATTCTTTCTGTTATATGTTATATTTATTTATTAGTTTTTATTTCCTGTTAATTGGATATGGTAACATACTTTCATTAAAATATAGATACGAGATGAGGGATATTTCTGGTGCAGTCGTACATTTAATTCACATTAAATTATAGAGTCAAGCTGGATTATTAACTTTTACTCAAGAGGAGTTAAATGCAGGTTTCGAACAGCTCTGCAATGAAAATATTGCGATGATCGCGAATGATCAGATTACTCTTATTTGAAGTTGAAAATTTATTGTTTTTTTTCGGCAAAATTGTTTCAATTTGGTTTGTTGATTTGTTTTGCCTTTTAATTTAATTTTTCATTTGTATTTTTTGAACTTAAAGCAAAATGAATGGACTTTTGACAAATTCTCTATTTTCCAATACTTTTCTACGTGAAATATACGATGATTTTTTATGTGAATTCTTTATGTTTTTTTCGGTCGCTTTCAAGATCACTTTTTAAAATAATAAATGGCTTTTTTGGTTTAAAGCAAAAAATTTTGAAATTCATTGACTTGTTCTGGTGAGGATGCGAGAGTCTCTTGAGATTCCAAATTTTGTTCTTCGCTAGGCAGTATGCTTCGTGGATTCGTCCAGTGTTCGAGAAGTATGACACGAAGAGCACTTCGTGGAATTGTTAATCTCCCTTTGGTTTCCCATTTTCGCCCATCGAAGGTCAAAACAGTTCTCACCATTGTATGCTCATAACCACCAACCGCATAAATTATTTCTCCCATTTTACAGAAGTCAAAGTTTGACCTGTTAAAGTATTTATGTTGTATAGTTATGACTTTGTTTTATTGTTCTGTTCTTTTATCATATTATTAAGATTTTTATGGTGTTTGAAAATGGACTATAAACAATAAATATGGTACAGCTATAATTATTATTATTTGCGATAATTACTTTGATGTTATTGGCTGGAAAAGGTTTTAATGCTAATAGTGCTACTATTGTTAGTGGCCAGAATGGGTTGTATATTGTCTCGATTGACGACAAACTATAACAAGTTCGTTTTGATTTGGATTTTTCGATCCCTTGATGGAAATCTATCATTAAAAGAGATGTTGGTGGTGACTTACCTGTATATCTATCCCCAAGTGATTCTGGCGAAGAGGTCATCATCCTATACGGTGAAGCTAACTATGGTTAGATTTGTTCGAAGGAGAGAATCGTTGTTAGGTATCAATGTTAACCGTGGTATAGGCATGGACTGCAGTGGTGTAGTATATGGGCTACCATCTTTTAATTTTTCCACTGTGCGAAGTCGATTCACGCCGTCAAAGCCTCCAGCGATTATGATGTAATTGTCTATGGCAACGCAAGCTAATCCTGAAATTCCAGGATTTTAGCTATCATTAAAAAATATTTGATTTTTGGATTTCGTGGAATAAGAGAAGTCGGATTGTTAATTTATCGGAGATTTAAGATACTGTTGGCTTGGCTTGCTCCACTAAATATTAGGGTGAATTTTTTCTCCAGAAAGATTGCATTTGCATTCCGGATGTGCTAGTCCGTCGCCAGCATTCCAGTAGGGTTTTTCTTTTTATGATAGCCTGCCAAGACAAATTAGAATTTATGCTATTTGCCCTTAGTTATAAGCAAGGTAGTGTTTCCTCATGTGCCTTAGTGTTTTGTTCGTGAACATTAAAGCTTTTTTGGTTTGGTTAAGTCCTTTTATCCTTTTAATACTAAACTATACCAGATCGAGGAGAATCCATAGTTGCTATCTGCACCCACGTATCATTCTCAGGGTTATAGATTTCAACTGTCTGAAGGACTAATTCACCTGTGTATCCACCAGCCACATACATTTTACCATTTAAAGCACAGGCACCTGCATCTGATCGTCGCTGTATCATATTTCTAAAATAAAATTTTTTCAAAAGTGGTATATTGTTCTTTTGTTCTCTCATGTAAATTATTTTTACCGTATTGGCGTCCACTGATTTTGTTCAATATTGTATTTCTCTGCACTACGAAGACGATTTCTCCCATCTGATCCGCCGGCAACATAAATAATACCATCAATTTCACATGCGGCGACATAACATCTGATAAAATCTGATAAAGAACTAGAAGATACTTGAATTGTGATGCCTATTACTATTACTTTAGCCAAACATTGAGAAATCTTTTCATGTCTATTGACGGTACATAGAAGGGAACTTCAAATTAAGTTAATGTTCCCACGAATAACTCAAACCACCTATTGGTTCATTTTAAAGATTGGTATATGCCTGTCGAAAATCTGTTTAGCGTTAAATTATAGTTGCGATAGGCTTCATTCATTAGTTCATAGAGTGAAATTCAGGCAGAGGAGATTTTACAGAGATTTTACCGAAAAATGATACCTTCCGCTATTCATTGGTGCTAATTCTTTCCATTTTTGCAGCAGAGGATCGAAACATCGAGTAATATTAAAATATTGCGATCCATCAAAGCCACCAATAACATAAATTCTCTGAAATTTTGATATAATTTATATGATTTGATGAAGATCTCGATCTGTAAGTGGTTCTCCAGGAAAAGCGGCCTACTCTCAGTAGTGGAATTAGCCAAAAGCAACCAAAAGCAATGCTTGTTGTTAAAAGAAGAGAGATCTTTCACAGAATTCGCATTCATGTTAGAATTGAATATTTTGAGAGCCATAACCGACAGCGATTTGCTCAAATTTTACATTTTAGGAACCAAGTATTGCTCAACAACATCAACCAAATTCAAGCCATGAAAATGCAATCACCACGATAAATTCCATTAATGTGGCATTACAATAGTTTTTCATGATACCTCTCTTAATCCCTCTAATTTCCTAATTTTCAGAGTTTTCTAAAGTTATCAAAAATATTTAATAGGTTTTTGACTGAGAAATAAGAGGAATAATTATAAAAACGAGAATGAAACCTTTTTAACAAAGAAACATTGATGATATGCAATGCACCGTTCATCCTCCAAGTGAGCGACTCTTCGCCATTCATCATTGTGTATATCATAAATTTCAATGGCTTTAGAAGGGCCATTTTTTTCCCAACCACCAATAGCCATAAGAAAATCTCGCGGGATCCGTCGCGATGCATACTTTTGCCAATCTAATATCCGAATACAATTCAAGCTGGATTTCATTCGAATCATTTCTCTTCTTATATCACTCTTCTGAAAAAAAAAACCAAAATGAACGATCATTAAATAAACTGTTTGATTGAAGACTTAATTCATCGAAATTGTTGAAAATTGAGTTCGGATGTTGATGCATAATGATAATGGATGATAAAAAAATGATAAAGCTACAATGGAAGCACTTGATCCGTGAATTTCTATAGGGTAAGGCTCATATAATCGCCATTCAGCAATTCAGTTTTTCCTAAATAGGCTTGTTTTGCAGATTTTAGAATGGGTGAAGGAATTTGAGTAATTTGAAAATGGAATGGCTATTAAATTAGCTATTCACCTCAAAAATCGTTGGTCCTATCATTTGCATGAGTTTTTTCCATTATTGCTTTTTTCCCGCGTTCTATTCGATAAGATCGCTAAGCCACCTCAAAATATACCACTGGATCGAGAAGTTAGGGAACATATCATTTATTTCAGCTGTTTGCGCAATCCAAAAATGGTCTAATGGCGCAAAATACGAAATCTCAAGTTTGGTAATTTAATTTTTTTTATCAATCTATTATCAATTTTATCATTTTCAGTATTTTTCTACGAAAATTGGAGAAATTAAGTATATAAAGAATGGATTAATAGATATAAAAATATGAATTGATTACGAAAATTCTATCTCAATTTTTATCCATCAGAATTTCCACCTTCCTTTTTTTCAAGCAACCTATAACTAATAGCAATCGATTCATGTTTATAGGAAAAAAAGGAATGACGAAAGCAGTTGCTGGACCGTTTTAGTGGATTGGGTGGGGTGAAAAACGTGATGAAGTGGCATAAAAGTAGTTAACTAAGATATGCTTTAGCGTATGCAATAGGGTTACTTAAAATTTTATTATTATGCAATTATTTTCTCCTCAGAAACCTAAAAATTTTTTTCTAAAGGAATTAAATTAACCTCTTCTTGTGATAAAAAATTGGTTCGAATTGCTTGAAACAATTTTCGTAAATGAGCCATTCGCCTCTTTTTATCGACTAAGATCCATTTTTTCAAAAGAATCCAAACGTCAAACTTAAAAAGCCATATCATGGGTTTGCCAAAATTTTTGTAGAGGGAAATGTCGCAAAATAAATGAGCCATTTTTTTAACTTCTTAGCGGTTTCTTTAAATTTTTTTGCTGAGGAGTATTTATTTCTGTCTGGGCTCACTTGCTGCCATTCGGTCGATAGAAATACTCGAATTTTTGAAAGACAGGTTCGTCCTTGTTAGACAGGCTTACCCTTGTAATCGAGTATCGGCATTCCGAAATGAAAGCAAAAAATCACTGAGCCACTTCACTTCCAATTAATTTTATTATGTGAAAGACCGATTGATTAAAGATGGAAAAATTGTCATAAATAATATTACCTCTCGATTGACATTCAGTAAATCTGCATCCAATATTTCATAAAACTGACAAGCATTTAATTGATAAAAATTCAAATTATGACCATCGATGACACTTTTGTGAATGAAATATAATAAGTAATCGAATATCTAAATAAAAATGCAGTGATAACGATGATTACGATTGATTGCAATTCAATCTATATTAAGGTGACTCTTCAGCGAAGCGACCTCATTACAACCATAATTTCAGTCCAGGAGGAAAATTTTTAGGCCTACGACCTTATCATGGTAGGAAACAAGCCAGGCCAAAACTGAAAAATCCATGTCACCAAAAGAAAGAACATTAATATTAAAATTTTTTGGCCATATTTTTTCAAGATTTACGACCATCCAATAGAAACTTTTTCATTTCTTATATTTCAAATAATTTAAATTAAATTTAAATTAAATTAAATTTTTAAATTTAGTTTAGTTTAAATTAAATTTTTAAACAAAAGGAGAAGGAAACAATTTCGCTTAATTTTGTATCATTATTTCTCTATATTATTATATTCATTTATACTATTATTATTTATTTATTTTTTTCAAATATTTGTATCATTATAATTATAATTATATTACTAATACTAATTATATTATATTACTATGCATTTCTTTATTTCTGTTTTTGTTAATATTCTATAATTACCATTTATATTTTATTTATACATTTTCTTAAAATATGAAATAGTATGGATGAAATAAGTCGATTTTATGGATGATTTGCTATAAATGAAAAATCGCAATAAATAAAAAATTTAATGAAAATAATTCATAATAAATGCATAAATATATAATATAACAATAATAAAGCTTTAGTGAGTTACAAATAGTTAATGTAGCGGAAATTTTAATAATATATTGCAATTCTCAAGGAATTTTTATGCGAACATTGCTTGAATTATTCGAAGCGTATGACATCACACAAAAATGAAAATAGATTTATAGCGATTTTTTGAAATGGCTAATTTTTACGGAATACTTTGCATCCTAATTTCTTTTCTGTTGGCAATTTGGGCTGAATGGCTCAGTGGATTGTTTACTCGTATTTCAGAGCGCTGTGCTTGTTTCTACCCACAAATAAGAGTTAATATATCTTTCAAAAATCCAGATGGTTCACCTATATTGTTTATGACGAAATGAAATCTTTGATATAGTCCTCTGATAAGATTTTATTGGTCTGATAAAATCTATGGAGAAATCAAATAAAAAAATTTCTTGACGACATTCTACTCAAATCTTTTTCAAGTTTTAAAAACATTTTATGTTCAATAAATAAATTTAAATATATAACGAATTTTTAAAAATGAATTTTTTTAGACAAAATTCGTCTTCTATGACCGATCATCGTGATTTTATGAATTTTTTTATCAGTATCAATATTTTAACAACAACTTGTAATGCTGTACAAGGGCCATTGATATCATTACAGCTTATAACTTAATAACTTATAATTTTTACAATTATATTATAACTTAATTACAAATATTGTTTTTCGAATTTTCAATAACTCACTTCATCCACTCTTTCTGGGAGGAATTTTTTGCATAATTGCCATAAAGCAATACAATTTTCGTGGTTAACATCTTTCAAAAATTCTTTAATAACCATTTCGGTGACATTTTTTATATTCCATTCAATCGACTGAAAAATGAATAAATGTTGCAAAATTTTATACGAATGAGTATATGCTATGCATAGGATATGATTGATGGCGCCGCGAAACGGCAAAAGCAAAAAGGCTACTTTTGTGTTCGGTCTGCTTCCTTTTAATTTCTTTGAATTCTGCCCTCGGGGCTTTTTTCATTGGACCATTCATCTGCATCACCATATCATCTGTCGTATTTTCTTACTCCGCTACCCAATTTTCTTTTTGCTTTCTTTTTGAGTGCCATCGGCCATCGTCTTCTCCTATGTTTCAATCGTTTAGCTGATTCAATATTCGGCATGCCATTAAACATTGACGCTCTCCTGCTTTAATGAGGACTGTCTTATTCAACCTATTCTTCACTGATCTATCTTTAATTTGTTCACAGGGCAAAATGCTCGTTCGAATCCATTTCTTTGCTATCCCATAGTAACCTTTTTGTTTTCGTCGTTTTGCGACAATAGATGAAATATTAAGCTTAATAAAGATAAATAAAAAGAATTCACAAATTTTTCGTGCCGATTCTCTTATTTACGTTGAAAAATCCAAGAAGCATAATGCAACTGAGCTTTGATTACTTTTTCATTATATAAAAATAACAAACCAATTTAAGCAATCTTTCCAACTGAAGCCAATCCACATATTCTAAACGATTATATTTAAGGCATTGAAATAAAAGCTGAAGCTGAAAAAAAAAGCCTAAATTCATATTATTTTTATATTTTATATTGGCAAACTCGATTAAAAGCTATTTTTTTATTTTATTAGAAATTTATTTTTTAGAAACAAAAACAAATTTGAAATGTTTAAACAGAACTAAATTAAATTATATTACTATATTATAAGTAATAAAGTAAGTAAAAAAGAATTTAATCAATTTAAGTCAGAAAAACTCTAAAAAATTATACAATTTCACTGGAAAAAGTTGTCATAATATAATGTTTTTTTCGATCATCGTTGGTTATAAATGGTATTATTGCTGGCCAATGCTTTTCCAATATTCGCTTATTTATGTGAAATCTGAAACTAATCAAAGCAGTCTTCATCATATTCTAATTATTAGGAAAAGAATAATAATCATCATTTCTCTTAAATTGATCCATTGGTGATCCCATAGTGCAGTAAAAAATTTTTGCCAGGAAGGGTAGTTCTAGGGTAGTCATCTAGGGTAGTTCTCTGGCAATGATATCGCCAACACGAATTTTAATAACTCGCGTTAGTGACAGGTCCCTAAGAACTGAATTGAGGGGATAATTTGAGTAATAACCACTTGACTTCCGCAATCAGGAAAAAATAAAGGGAAACATTTCCAAGCCCTATAGAATTTCTCCTTTTTCTTCTATCAACCCACACCATCACTGGTTCAGCTGGTTCCCGTTGGTTGTATGGTTGGTTGTTTCGTTCTCATGACGGATTACTTTATTTATTTTTTAATATTTGAAATGCTTTCCTACATAATAAAATTTTATAAATAAGTTTTCTTGTTTTTAAAAAGTTTTAAAAATAAGTTTTCTTGATTTTAATTAAAATTCGTCTTATAAATAACAAAAGTCACATTATTACTTTTACTTCAATATTCGACTGCTTTAGTAATACTTTATTTATCTGAAAGCGCTCATTATTGCTGGTTGGCTCGCTTTGCTAGTGCTGCTAGGCTAGAAAAATTTTGCCAGAGGCTCACTAAGCGATAAAAGCACAGTTGGGTCGCCAACGTTACTCAGATTTTTTAAGGATAAGTTTTCTTATCCAGCATAGAACCTCAGTGTCGGTTCTTCAGGTTAAGGAGCAACAATCTATTGAGAATATTTTTTAATATTGTTTATTATTAGTAACGTGCGTATATTTTGCGCTTTGGCTCACTTAATTCCCATATGTGAGAATAAATTGACATGGATGGCCTACCAATACTTTTGAATGACAGACAAGTACAATTTTTGAAAGACAAGATTTATGTCAATAATTTAATTTAGAATTTATGAAAAAATTTTATTAAAGCTAAATATAATAAAAGTTTTAAGGAAAAAAACCTTATTTCGCTGAAATGAGGTTGTCAAATAATGATGAAAAATTATGACTTAAAATATTGAAATATTGAAAATATTATCGCTAATAATAAATAAATAAAATGACAGTAAAAATTATTAGAATTATCAGTGGAGAAAATTTCCTTCACAATAAATTAAGAATTGTCTAGAATCGCTCAGTGGGTTATTGCGATAATTTCGAAGCTCTAATGCTGAAGTTAAGCTTCCAACCAGAGAAATGCCTTTCAAAAATCCCAGTTATACTAGCGACTCATTCCTATAGTGGTTTCAGTTGAAAAATGAAAATTTTTTCCGGTCTGTTAAACCAATGGGGGGAAATTTTAAATGACTTACTTTGATAAATCATTTGCAATAATAGTACAGTCGCAAAGTGGATCATTATAATATTTTTGAAATAAATCATTATCATGCGACATTTTTTTTATAGTCAATTCTAGTATTTTGGTTTAAACAGAGTTATTCGACCGCTCGACTTATTTAAAAAATAAATATTTTAGGCGAAAAATTTTTTTATAAAAATTTTCAAAAATAATTTTTTCCTAAAAATGCAAAATAATTAAAGTTAAAAAACTTGTCGTTTTTTAGATTTGTAGATGAAAATTTCAGGATTTTTTAAAGTGGATTTTACTTGTTTATTGGAATATTTTCTTATAATTCGGTTAATAATTAATTGTTAATAATAAATAATAAAATTATCAGTATCAGTAGTTATCAGTAGTATTATGAAACAAAATATTGCTCAATAGAAGATTTGGTGATGCATCTTATATCAAACAAGTGTACAGCAATGGTAGTGATATTGCTTTTGCTTAGTAATTTTGTACTACTCGAAGAAAGATTGGTGATCGTTACCTCTGCTTCTTTTTCTTTAATAGAGTTAATAAGTAAAAGAAAAATAGGGATTAAATGAGATGAGCACTAATGAAGCACATTTATTCACCGAAGTTGATTGACTGAGGCTTCGATTCATACTTTTTTGTGAATTCCTTCAGGTATTTATGTAAAAAATTAAAAAAAACGGCCGAGGTAGCTCCGTAAATATCATAATATGCTTTTATATTACAGTATATTTTCGAATGTTTTCAGCATGAACTTTTTTTTCTCTCAAGAGCGTTCATTTCTGGTAAAATTCAGTCTATTGGCTTAGATTTGGTGAGAGATATTTGCCAGAGAGACATTTAGCGACAAGTATTGCCATAAGAATTGAAACCATCATCTGGAATTTTGAAAAACAGGTTTGTACCTATGGGGGCAGAACCATATCGGCATCCTGGAATGAGAATAGTAATCCACTGAGCCATTCTGTCTCTTAGCCAATGCTTTTGCAAAATTAAAAAAACTTCATTTTTTTTCGCAATCAAAAGGAACCTTTGCACGAAGAATATAATTTTCTTTACAAATTTTGGGAGATTACTATCAAAAATTTTAAGCCGAATCTTAAGTTCCAAAAAATTTGAACTTCATCAAGTATTTCTTATTTATTTTATACTAATTTGCCGATTCACACAAAGTTCTTCTTTATGTTTCCAAGCCTTATTAGATTCAGTTTCCCAAGGCCTTTGCTAGTGGCTGCCAAAGGGCCTATCGATTAAAGTGATCCATTTTTCGAATTCCTTTATTAAAGCTTGAGAAATTAATATTGAGGAATACATAAAAATACGGATTTATTTTCCACAAATCGACATTATAGAATGACGCACAAAGAAACATCTATCATTAATTTCTTTCGTTTCACATTTTTCTTTTCATCGCCTGCGATTCATTCTCGGTAACATGCATTGTACTGGCGAGAGAAAGCAATTTTGAAAATCTAATTCATCGAAAGAACGACGATCAAAATTTCCAGAAAATTGGCCAATACTTCGTCGTTGAATGCGTGCATCTTGTCTCAAATCATCAGCGAAATTCATATTTGTAAATGGGCTTCGACCATTTCTGAAATGTTTAAAACAATAATAACAACAAATATCATGTTACTCTCTCCATTAAAGTAAACAGAAAATTTTGCTCACTAGTAAAATTACAAGCAACTGGGAGAAGATTCAGTGAACTGTTCCCGATGGCTTACTCTTTGCAAGAGTAAATTTGCATCTCAAAAATCCTCATAATATTTGCCACTCATTCTTATTTCTATTTAGTATTTGCAGGAAACACGAATTTTTCCTACAGCAAATATCCGCTCAAATAAATCAGTGAGAGTAAATTTGACCAGAAATGAGCGCTATTTACAGAAAAAATTGCACACAATTGTTTTTTGGATAATTTAAATTCAACTATAGGACGTCCGGAAAATATCAAAAAATATATGAATATTTATATATTAAAATGCATGAATGGATATTCTTTCTTTTCACGCAAAATATATTTTTTATACCTTTGCAAAAATCACAGTAATGTTAAAAGTTTACGACAGTGTGCGGTCTGTGGGCCCACGAGGATTTGGGTAACTATGGCTGCAACCATAGATTTATGCTTAATAGCTTAATGCCCAAGCTTCTTTTAACTTTATTTAGTTTGTTTCTAGAATTTAGCAAGTTTCTAGAATTTTTCTCTTCTATAATTTTCATCACTCATAAAATTTGTTATTTAGATTTTTATTATTTTTGTTTTTCATTTTTCGTGGGAGGAGGAGAGGGGACGAAGACGGGGAAGCTTCGTAATTATACTTAATACAATGCTCGAAAACCTTTTTCTGAACTTTTAACTTGATTACAGCTCCACTTCGTTCGCTGTAGAATCAGTTTGAGAGCGCCCATTCAACTCTACCATTTGGAATTCCAAGCTTCTGATTTAAAAACTCGAAGTTTTAATAATTTAAAGAAAAATTTTTTGGCATTGTCAGAATTCTTCAGAATTCTTAAAAAGCAGCTTATTTTTTTAACTTATTTTATTTTTTTAAGAAAGAAAAGAAAGTTGGTGGAGAAAAGAAAAAACTATGGCACTTTTACATTTAGGTATTTTTAATGATGGGAACGAAAACTTTAAATTTTTGACTTTTTTCATTACTTTAATTATTCCTATCCACTTTCATGGTTATTTTGCTCGAAAACATTAAAGGAAATTTTGCTATTTTACATTTTTAATAAAAAATAATTAAATAAGCCATTTAAAATGATTAAATTTCATGCCAGTTTTAATGGGAAGAAACTACATCAAATTAGCAATAATAATAATAATAACAGCAGTAATAATATAGAAAAATACATATTCACATTTTAAATATTAATATTTAATAATAATTTTGCATGTAAACAGTTTTATTTATAATAATTTATTTTCAAAAAAGAGATCTTAAATGTTTTTGCATAAAAATTTCAAATTACTTTATTATTTATTAAAGTTGCATCTAACGATTTTAAGGGATATACAATGACAAAAAATGAACCTCGACTAATAGAATTCATTTAGTTCTAAGTTATAAATTGCGTAAACCAACGTTTCTCGACCCTTCCACTATGAATTTCTTAAAATTGGAATTACTAAATTAAACACCTCAGGCGAATGAAATCCCTATTATTTTTGCAAATTTTTATATGAATAGTATATGGAACTCTTAAAACCCTTGAAAAGGACCGCGCCGTATCAGAGGTGTGCTATATTACGAAACACTGATAAAAATGATTTTTGTCAAATTGTAAATTTTTCATTTTTAATTTTGCATTATCTTCATATTATTATGTCATTTGACGTAATAAATCTTTCTACAAATACGAATAATTCCATTTGAAAACTAAAAATTTTAAAATTTACGCAAAACAATTGATAATATTGAACGAGTGGCTGAAGAAAATGATAGAAAGCCAAACGGCTAATCGCCATAAGGTCATTTTTCCAGTGCAAAAAGCTCAATAATATAACGAAACGAGAAATGAACTCGCTTGTTTACTTCCATTATTTTTTTGACTTCTAAATTACTTACCTCAAAACGAAATTATTTAAAGTGATGTTTATACATAAATTTAGAAAGAAGCATTTTCGACATCTTTAAATTCCATAAAATGAAATTCCATATCAATGAGTGATTGATTTTGGACGAAAGAATTTGAGAAATTTGTTCAGCGATGTAAATAAGTAGCGAAATGGTTGACATTGTTTTTGGTTAGGCTCGTTCCATTGGCTATTAGTCATTTTGCTAGAGAATCACTCGGGTAAGAGCGATTTCTATGAGAGACACTTGGTAGAAGCAAAAGACGACCCCTAACAGCATCGGCCTTTTTTAAAGACAGATATATTATCATATTGGCTCAAAGTATTGGCTCAGAGCAGCACTATAAAATAAATGGGTATAAGAATTTTTTCGAGCTAAATTCGTGTTTAACATTGCGAAAAATTTTTAAAAACTCTAATAATATACCGTATTTCCTAAAAGTTTATTACAACAAACCTCTGTAAAATTAGTTTTATTAGAGCGTGCCGACTTAAACGCTTCTCTTTTGCACCCGCACCCGAAGAGAAATCGGTTTCAGAAAATCTCGTTTGGCCAAGAACCCCGAAACTTATCAATGGCAAAATTATCAGCAGTAATGGCAGGTATAAACCACTTATGGATAGACCACCACCACTTCGATATGCCATTATTTTAACACTAAAACTTTCAAGTAGAAGTCTATATTATAGAATTTTTATTGTGGTTATGGGTGGAGTTATAAAGCAAAATCTTTTATTTGTATTAATATTTGACAAGGGCTTTTTCTTCGATTATTTGTTTTAAAAATGTTTCACATTAGCGCTTTTCATATTGAAATTTTGTGAAATATAGCAAAAAAATATCGATATTTGCGAAGTAAAAACACACTGAAGGACAGATTATCAGTTGCTCATCACCGTGCTCTAATCAATCTTATCTTTTTTTCAAAGAGCAGGATAACAGTAAGCAGCAACACCATTCATAACCAGTAGTGCATGTCCCTGATGAAAAAATTGCATGATAGTTATTAAATAAATTTTTATGACCCTTGATGACATTAACATTTAAGCTGAATTCATAATAATTAATGCAATCAAACATAATATAATCAAACAAAATCTTAATGTGAAAATCATTTAATCCACTTCCAACCCTAAGATCCAGGTTATATAATTTTTACTTCTATTTATAATGAAATGAAGAACCGAGATTTAGGAGAAAACTTTTTATTTACCAAACTTATTTATCAATTTTTATCAAAATACAATTACTTTATAAATTATTATTATTTATCAAACTGTAAGTTACCTTACAAATTATTATTTTCACATATTTTTTTTAAAAGTGAGTGATTTCTTGTTATCTTTAAAATTTTAAAATTATTTAAAAAGTTTGTTATGGCATTAAACTTGAAAAATTTTTGAGACCATTTATTATAATCGGAATAATAATAAAAAATCTTTCTTTATGACTATAACTCTGAATTCTAATAAGCAGCCAATACTGAAAATGTGGTACTTATATAATAATAATTATTTCATCTATAATTGTCGATAATTTTCTATCTAATAGTAGAAATCTCAATTAAAAAGAATATTGGAACTTATTTGCAGATATTATTCCACAAATGAGAGCCAGGTGAAAGAGGCACAAGATGGTTAGGCTGGTACTTATTTTTCTTACCAGAAAAATTTTGTCAAAGATTCAGGTGGCGATCGAAACCATAAGTGAATATAACTCGGATTTTTGAGTGATAATTTTATTTTTATTGGGAGAGGAAAATTTCATAAAAATTATCAGTAGTAAATTTACACCGAGGATTTTTTTTAATCATTTCGACTCTTTATTAATATGATTTGCTAAGTTTTATTTACATCTTTGGCTGCAAAGCTGCCAAAAATTATTGAATTGACAGCGATTAATAATTTCCCATTAATATTCGATGTTATTTACCAATAGACATGATTTTTTGGACATTTTGCAATTGGATTTTCTTGTATCCAAAAGTTTCTCGCCAAAATAAAAGACGCATCCAAACTTCCTGGAACGATACATACTTATTCCAACACGGTACCAAAAACAAGAACATCATTCTGCTTTCACAGAGAGCTTTCAGAATCACTAAATCCTGGAAAACTAACAGGAGATTCAATTTTCAAGGGAAATCCATCAATTTTTAGGATATTTTTATAAGTAAAATTGTATTTCTTCCGATCTCCAGCATTTTTTAAAACTTTGGAATTCTAAGAAAATAAGCACAGAAACTGCCTAGAATTATTCTTAATTTAAAAATAATTGGAATTTATCCGATTATCTGAAAAAAAATTTAGGGGTCTTACTATTGCACTGAAATTAAGAATGTTGATATTCTCAAACTTACAATTTTTTAAAGGTGGAATAAAAATATTGAAAGACCAGTAAGTTTAATTCATTTCAGTTCCTTCAATTTATAAGTTGGTGATTGGTCTAACAATTATTCCAAAAAATAACATTTATGTTTATGTAATAATATAAACATAAATGTTATTTTTAACTTCAATAACCTCCCAGTTCAGGAGAGACTACCGTCAACCGATCATAATCTTCGATTGTAAATCAAAGTCAAAAGATAAACTAAATAATATTAATAACAATATTAATAATGTTACTGGCAAATGGGAATTGAGAATTGACGAGAATGCTAAAAACATCGTCAGATACCAACGTAGAACGACGATAAACTGACGAACTGGGTGAAATTGTAAGTCCAATTTCGCTTCTGCTCCATCAATCTTATCAGTGATAACTATGATTAGAAAAAATTATCTCAGATAATCAGTCTATATATATATATATGTTATAAAACCCGATTATCTACAATTTAGGCCCGCAAAATCACTAAATTTTCACTAAAAGCATATAATTTAAGCAAATTTACATTTTTATCTTAATCCTAATAATTATAATCAACCTAGAAACTAAGAAAGTCCATAAGATTTATTAACGCTAATTATAAATCACCATAATTTCCTTTAGATATTGGATCCACAGGGGCCACAGACTAAACCACAAACAAATACGACGAGTTTTGACCAATTTGATATATTTGATTGAAATCTTGTCATAAAAATTCTTTTCTAATAAGGTGATAACTATAACTGTTTCTATTCCTTTAAATGCCGAAGCCCGTAAATGGCGATTGATGGAGGGTGACAAAATGGGTTAAGAAAGAAAAGAAGTTTGTTTTAAAAATAAAATAAAACTTTCGGCTCACATTTGAGAAGAATTTATTATTTCATATTTCTTACAAAAATACAAAAATGTAGTAAAATTGGGATTTTTTAGTTGTAAAAATTTTCATGCTTTAATAACACAAGTTTGGAGCTGTGGCAGTTGTAACGTTGTTAAATATTCGTTTATTCGTTGTGGGCGACAAAGTATAACTTCAGCAAGGAAATAAAAGCCGTTCGTGGCAACGAGCTCCTGGACAATTTTTAAATGCACTCTGCCAGAAACTTTCGAGCATTGTTTTTTAATTTTGAATTACTAGAAGATCCACAAGGCTTTTTCCTTGAAGAATATTCCAGTTATGGTCTTTTTTTGTCTCATAATTTCGCGTCAATGAAATGCAAAATTTCATAATGTCAAATAAAATGCCAAGCTCGACTTATTTTGGTTGAAACAAAATTTTGAGCTAAATGATATATAATTATCAATTATGTAGTTTTTTTTTTGTATCCGGTGTTTCGCCTGATAACTATCAATATAATGGCTGGTGGTTGAAAATAGTGAAAAGTTATGATCCATGAGATAGCAGACGAATTACTCTAATCGAATTATTCATACTAACTGATCAAAATGGTTTACCTAATACCGATGGATATTTTTAATCAACATTTGGCACTCAACTGATCAAGCGGTGATCGTATTCATTTAATCCTGAATTTTTGTTTTAAATGACTTCCTTTTTTGAATTGCCCCTAAATATAAAATAAATAAGTAATTTGGCAAATAATTTTTGATAATAGTAATTTGAAGAATTTTTGTGTGATCATTTTAGCATCGCAGGTGCCAAACGAACTTCGATAGGCAATGGAAGCATTAGTCAATTGCAATCTAGCTTACGAGCCAAAAAATAAATTTGGTTCCTATAACTATATTTTTAAAAAATTTCTTGTTTTCAAAACCAAACAAAATGATTAGGTTCTTTAAGTATTCATGTGAACATCTTATTATTATGTATAATTGAGATGCAATTTAGAGCAAATTTTGTGATAGCTCTGATAAATGATAAATAAGCAATGTTTTTAAGCTTAGAAAACTGACAAATATCGTTGTTTGCATTATTTTTTGAGATATTTTTTGTCATAAGATGAAAATAACGCATAATTGCAAAATGTGATAAGAGGAGGACATATCAAGAAAATATCGATCACTTATGCCTCAATAACATTCTAATTCGCCCAACCAACAGAATCTTAAATGATAACATCCACTTCAATATCTTCAAGTATATCGCCAGAAAAAAGCTAGTTTCGTCATCTTCCTTACATCATGGAAATTGACATCTCGCCAATGCATGTTAATTTTTGTGATTGAAGGTGTTAGATGATCAAGAGAGAATTTAACTACGTAGGTGATCCATCGATATATGGGCCGAATGTGAAAAGCAGTGGCTTTTGCTATTCTTAGCTTTGAAGTCGGAACAAGAAGTTTATTCTCGTAATCAGCAAGCAATGGAAGCAGTCTAACCAGTAATGGACCAGAAGATGAAACTGTAATATTTTACAAAAGTTTTAAGAAAATTTACGTAAATATTGCGATCATGAGACAACTTCCAATTTTCTTTAATAAATTTTGTGATAATAACCATTAATAATTAAATTAATGATTGAATATAAGACTAAAATTTTTTCCACAGAATGTTAATTTGGCAAATATGAGATTTATATCAGTCAGATTAAAGTCATCAACGAAATAATTAGGGAATCTTTGTTTAGATTGTTTGATTCGTTTGACCTATGACCTTTACGAGAAAGGTTTGAATCTATGGAAGCCTAATATTTAAATAACAAAACAGAAATTTTATATCTCTAAATTTTTTATATTTCATTCTAAATATTCTCTCTGTAAATTTGGCAATTTCTCGATTCAATCAATTTGGAAATTTGGCAAATGTTAATAAAACCTCGTAAGTATAAGATATAATTTAGAATATTTTTGCTTGAAATTTCGATGCCTCTAGTAAAATTCGCTTTTTTGTGAATTAATACTATTTCTAAAATGATTGAGCAATCCTTCTATAAATTTTATTTTCTGCTTGGTTTTTTGATTCTATTTTTCGAGCGCTAACCTTCTAGGAATTACGCTAAATTTATCATGAAAAACTTTGCTTATATTTTGGTATGTTTTTAAAACGAAAAGCGAAATGTTTTTAAAAAAATTGAAGAAAACACCATTAAAAATTATACCTTTCACATATCATAACTTGTTCACTTTATCAGAAATTAAAATTTAATTATAAAAATATAACAGTAAGCACGCCGTCAGAGATGGAGAAAAAAACGATAGACCAGCTTCAGAAATTGATAAGGACAGCAGATCAAGCCTCTTTCAAAATCCCGAATAGATTGGTAACCCAGTTACGCTTCCATCGCCAATTGATTCCCAGGCAAATTTTGGTGAGATACGACAAGTCAGCGGATCTAATCATAAACGGTGAAGAAACTTATTCAACAAAACTAAATGGCAATAAATAAAAACGCATACAATAATAATAATAATAATAATAATAATAATAATAATAATAATAACAATAATAGCAAAACAGTAAATAACTTGTCAGTTAACGATGAACATAAATATCCATGAAAGGCATGAAAATATGGATAAATTATTATCAGATATATATATTATTCGCTGATTTCACTTAAGCAGGTGTTTCATATCTTATACTTACGAGGTTTTATTAACATTTGCCAAATTTCCAAATTGATTGAATCGAGAAATTGCCAAATTTACAGAGAGAATATTTAGAATGAAATATAAAAAATTTAGAGATATAAAATTTCTGTTTTGTTATTTAAATATTAGGCTTCCATAGATTCAAACCTTTCTCGTAAAGGTCATAGGTCATTTAATTCATAAAATCATGGAATGGACTGAATCGATTTATTTCAAATTTTCTATCGTTTGTTGAAAATTCATAATCGAATAAAAGCTGGTTTGATTAAAGAATGAGCCAACGATCGTCGGTTCATAATAATCATATTCAAGATCATGATCTGTTTGAAATGAAAAGGATGATCGACCGCTTGTTAGATTTGGTAAAATTTTTTGAAATTTTTCATTCGCTGAAAATTTTTTGGAGTAAATTGGATATTTTTCAAAATCACTGCAAGACGATTTTTTTCAATAATCTTTTTTTTAAAGAATTATAAGAAATATAAATTTTTATACAAAATTTTATACAAATTTAAATTTTATAAACACACCAATAGCTTTAGTTGATGTCGAATCAACTGTCATCATTTTTCGCATTTCATTCAAACCGATTAAAGGTTCATCATTGGTTTCGTTCGATGAGGAATATTTATTGCCTTCTAAAGTATCTGAGGAATGGCATTCATTCCTGTAATTGAAAGTTTTTAACGAAACTTTATAATTGAAAGAAAGATAATTCTATAAAATGATTTTATGAAAAGATAATTATTTGATAAGATTTGAAATAAATTGTAAAATTGTATTTTCTATAAAATTTACAAATTATAAAATTTCCATGCAAGGTTACTCAAATATATCTTTTAACACAAAAATATGATTCATCGAAAGCTTAATTAACTTTGCCAGAAAGAAATGATTAAAACTGCCCATAGGATGATATTGAAGCACGGTTGTACGGTGGATAATGAAGTGGCAGGCTGCATCATGCGTTCAGTGTAAGATTACTTATCATAAAAGTTAAATCCGAGTGAAGCTATGAACTTATCAGTATTAATGCTCCCAACAAGTGACTCCTTAGAGAAGAAGCAATATATTTCAGTTAATGATCATAGAAATTCGATGTTGAAGACGAAATTATAGATTTTTAACCTTGGCTTTGAATTCAACAGTTCATTCTTCCGCCGTTTTTTTACCATAGTTTTCTTGATAACCATCGCACAAACAAAAGGCGGTAATCCGATAAATATGGGAATAAGAAAAACAATAATAATAGTTAAATAATCTAAGTGACATAGAAAATTGCAACTTTGCTGATTCAGCGATGATAAATTGGAAATTTTATCAATTTGAGCGTCTGAAAACTAACTGTTCATTTCCTATAATTAGAAGTTTTAAAGCACTAAAAAAATTTTAACAAGCAGATTGGAAGAGAACTTTACCCGCAAACCATTCATAGAATATTTCTACATTCATATCGTTTTGGTTATTTTCAGTCGCCATTAGCGATATTATAACTGGTTGTGTTGCAGTCAGAAGAATCCTTTGTAAACGTTCACTTGTCGTACTTTTAAATACGAGTTTCTAAACTTCATGCCCACTTCAGTGCCCACTTATTTTAAAAATTTCATGAAATAAAGTTAGCTACAAATTTTAAAAATGTAATTTTTTGCCAAAACTTTTTAAAAATGCTAATAAAACAAGGAATGTGGTTTTGAAAATATTTGAAACTTAAAATTACAATTGTAAAAATTTTTTAAAATCTAACTTTTACTTTTTCGCCAATGAAAACCCTAAGAACACTGGGAATTTCTTTTGGAAAACTTTTTATTTGAAGCCTCAAATTGTTCCCTTTTGGCTTGAGAATCCATTCAGTTTGATTTCCGCAAGTTTTAGCCAAAAATGAACCAATCTGTTCGATAATTTTACAACCACAAGTGCATTTTTTATTCCAGACTGCTAATTTTTTTGATTCTAAAAAATTAAAGATAATTTGATACTTGTGCGAAAAGCTATAAAGTGATAAAGGTAGCAAATAAAATAAAAAATGCCTGGGCAATGATTTCGATTGCAATCCGCTGTTTCCAAAATATTCTGATAGTAATTAGGAAATTTTAAGCTCGACTTAGACTTATTACATATACGTAATCGCCTTTTAAATCCAGTACCACAACTCGTTGAACAATCACTCCATTGGCACCATTCTTGGCTCAAGGTACCATTAAATAAACCAACTAAAATTATAAAAAAAGTTAACCTAATCAAATTACGCAAACATGGCCAAGATATGATGATAAGATTGACTTTTCAGAATTTTAGAATTATTTTCGAATTAAATTTTTCAACTGAACCTTCTTTCTTTATTTCTATGATATAGAGAATAACCGCAATACGCAATATATATTTATTCTTCGCCTAACAGAAAGAACATTCTTGCACCGACTTGGTTCATCGAATGCTAAGATGTGGTGAGAGCCTTTCACCAGATATTCACTTGGACAACAACTATCGGAATTTAGTTTTCATGGATAGATTTTTTCATGTCAAGAAATTAGACAAAAATCAATGCCATTTCTCAGTTCAAACATTCAACATTCGATTCAATCTCCAATACACCTAGGCAGTTATTAAAGCTTAAATGACAATCGGACTTTAACCACTGCAGCACAAAATGAGGCAATAAATGAATAAATGAAGACTGGTGGAACTATGGTACAATGTAAATCCATGATTTTTCTTTTTTAAGAATCTCTACCATTCATAGCTAAATTACGCTGGCTTTATAGGTCATGCATGTTTTTTTCAGAGAATCATTTGGAGATAGAAATAGTACAAGTGATTCACCAGCACTGTTTTTTCCCATCAAGAATGGAACCACAGCTCCAGCGTTCCAAAAGATCAATAAGATCAACAACCCACTAAGCCATTATAAATCCCAAAAATCCCTGAAATTATTCAATTTATTATATAAAATACTAACGATATTCAGTTTGAATGCACCTCTGATTCCATTCGAAAAGTCTCGAAGTTCGCCTTTCCACAGAAACAACTTGAAAACAAAATTTCGGATGAATTATATCAAACATTGAACATTGCAAAGCAATAACGTTCTCATTTTTCTCTGCAAATAATGGATTGAACTTTAATTCGTTTAAAGTTTCAAATAAAAATGACGAAAACAAATTTAAAAAATTTTTTAAAATTTAATAAAAATTTTTTTACGATTTTTAATATATTTAGGATTTCTCAAAAATTAAATTCATTAAAACTACGCAATCTCTGCAAGAAATCACATGGATTATCATCATTTCCATTCACATTATCACTTTATCGTTCTTCTTCGGCAAAATTATCTACTTTTTATAATTCATTATTATTATTATAATATTATTATTATTATCAAAATTACAGATTACTAAGATTTGGCGACGTATAATACTTCTTCGAAGTTGGGTATGCAACTCGACGCTCTCTCAAAGTACTCTGTTATTTTTTCCTGCATCCTACACTGTGTTCCATTAATCTTCATTTTCTGCTTTACCAATTTACGTATTTTCTCATTTATTCCATATTTCGTAAATTCTTTAAATACTTCCAGTCACTGTTGTTGCTGTCGCAGGATTAAACGAAGAAAAGAAATATAGGGATGAGAGGCTGAGTATAGAATGGTTTAGTGGCTTGTTGCTCAATTGGGGGCACCGATGATGAGGTTCAATTCCTCGCAGGAGTAAACCTATATAAAAATCCGGTGATGCTGGTGACTCATCTGTATTTCTATCGCCAAGAGACTCCCCGACATATTGCCCAATGCGACAAACCAGTGGAACGAGTTGAACCAGTAATGGTGAGGACTCTTAAAAAAAATATTGAGAGGCTGGATTTGAGTTGAAGGTGCAAGGTGCAAGAAGGTGTATAAAGGTTTTGGAGATAATGAGTTTTGAGTTTTGAGCACAGTTTGGGAGTCTCCTATAAAATGTAGCATATTTTAACAGTGTACAAGTGTGATGTACCAAATTCACTGTTTAAGCTTAAGGGCCCATTCTTTTCCGAGCACCGCATACCTATAATACACACATACAGAGAAATACACTCATATCACACACGCAATGATACAATAATACAATAAATTATGTTATTATAATTTGTAATAATTGTGATAAGTACTTATAATAAGTAAAGTAATAATTAATTCGTCGTCTAATGAGTTCATATTTTTGCTAGCATTAATTTTTCTGGATTAAATGCAATTTTCCGGATAAAAATTTTCAGGATTTAATTACAATTACCAAGCGTAATTTCTTCAATATAATAAAATTTTTCGAGTAACGTCGCTTCTGCGCTGGCAAATATTCGTAATCTAAGATCCATTCCAGTGGAAATGGCTTCTGTGTGGGTTAATTTCAGTTGAAAATATTCATCACAATATGGAAAAATGGTTTTTTGAAAAAATAATATTGAAACCTCGTTGAGTATCTCAATGTTAATCGTTATTATAATCTGCAAGTATCATATTTAAAATTATTCGAAAATATTAAATGAAGCAATTAATTATTAAAAATATTAAATAGTATCGCACCACAGCACTGTTGACAAAAAAACCACTTTTTCCACAAAAAAAAGCTTCTAAGATAGCGAAACTAAATTTTGTTTATAAATTCAATATATATGGTACAAAATTCATTAAGAAGTTAAATGCTTTAAAAAACTGTTTAAAATTTATCTTGTAGAAAAAATAAAACTGATATAGATTGATTGATTTAACATATTTCTGGCTTGGCTAGCCAATTTGATTACTAACATCCTTTGGCCAAATGACCACTTGGGTGCAAGTTAAAAATGTGCATAAAAATGTACTCATCCTTAATGGCAAATTTACTATTGGATCAATGGACGGCTGTGGCGTTTACCTTTAGCCCGAGGAGATATATGAATTTTTAGTTATTTGATAATTGAAAAGATGAATAAAATAATCCTTTTCAAAAGGCTTACTTTACTAAAAATATTGTGATCAACAGCGATAATTTTATAAATACCCGATTTGCACAAATTATCGAATGGACTTATAATTGTTATCGTCGAATTTACATTTAACTGTTGTAACATATCGAAATTCATTATTATTAATGACATAATTCGATAAATAACACTGATAAATTTATTAGAATCATTACAAAATTCCAAAATAGTTTTCAGATGAAATGAAAATGAAAATAATTGACATTTGCTATCGTAGAGCACTAATTTCGGTTTTGTAAGAGTAAAGTTGAATGGTAATGAACTTATTGATAACGAAGAATTGATAAAAAATTTGGCTTTTTGATAAGCAATTAGTGATGATAAGATATTTTTCGAATAATTCTTATCATTGCAATATTTGCATAAATGAATAATAAGTTTTTCATCGAAATTCTTTGTTGTCGTCGTTGTTTCACCAATTATTAAAACAATTTCGGGTAAATTAATTGTTGCTAGAACTACAGGAAATAATATAATCAACAACATAATAATAAGAATAGTCGATAAAATAAATCTATAAAGAAATTAATAGAGAATGTCGACCGCTAAGGTTCGATTCGGTCAAACGAGTAACATTCTACATATGTCGTTTATCCTACCTTCCTTACTCATTCCATTATTATTATTAATCCATATCATTCAACTTGGATGGATCAATATGCTAAAAGGAGGTAAGAGGAGTTGTGAATAAGTCGACGGGGCGATTCGTTGTCGTCGTTGCTTATGAAGCAGTAATTATGATAAAACAATTGCATAAACGAAATCTCTCCATTCATTTATTATAGGCGATCGCTGCAAATAAGGCTATCATTAGGAAATAATTCAATTAAATTTCTTTCTCTGGATTTTATCTTCTAATAGCTCTTTGACTAATGACTAATGAATATGCAGCGCACCAGAGATTTATAGAGATGAAAAAAATCGTCCATATTATGTATATTATATGCCTTGAAAACGAAATTAGGAATGATGTGGATAATGGCAAGTAGTACCGTAATGCCTAAACTAAAAAAGTCGCTCCAACAGATTCCAGGAACATTACCAGAGATCTCTGCCAACAAAACCACCAAGAACAGCAGATATTGCACAGAACCTTTGAACTCTCAAGTCTCTGCTAAAGGACCCGAGATTGAGGTTGAGAATGACTTGTGCTAAGAGAGTGACGTATTTTTTTTTGTCTAAATGAAAGATTAGGTTGTGCCTTCGAAATCCCCTCCAAATCGGTTACATTCCTTCAACTTCGTCTGTTATATGTTTTCTTAACAATTCCCCAATATTCGCTATTTCAAAGTCCCTCTAGCTTTTGCTCCTCTTAATATTCCTCTGAAATATCTCTACTGCATTACCCTTTGGAACTTGGTAGCTTATAGCTTCCACTGCATAAAAGCCTAATTCGAAGCTTGCGTATCATACTATATTACAACATCTAAATTTCACATTTTGTCGTTGCATTCCTTTAATACTACACAATCATCAATAAATTTATTATAATATTTCTTTTTTGCACGCTAACATAGCAAATTTATAATATTTTATTAATGGACAGATATCTATTATGATATCTTTTACTATAAAATTTATTTAAAATTGCTAAATTTGCCGTTCAAAAAAGCTCATCATATATAAAGCATTTAATCATCATTGCCTTCGGCTTTGCTTTAATTTTTAAAGAAGAAATTGGGTCTAAAGAATTATTGCACTATTATAAATACCTCGATTTTGAGCGATTTTTAAAACTTTTTCACTAAAAGTCTACGAATAGTATTCACCACAGATAAACCAACTGGCCAGTAAGCAATAGAAAATTTGATGAGCCAAAATTTTAAGAATGCACGAGAATAGAGTCGTTTTATAGTGTGGAGAAATTTTTGAATAATGAAAAAATAAATAAAATAATTTAATATTTTTTTGAAAAGTAGAATATCTATTTGCCTAATAAAATTTTTAAAATCAGAAGCTTATAATAACAGTAAGCAACTAAATTTAACAAATAATAAGTAGATGTGCCGAATGCACTTAGCTAGAAGTTAAAATGTAAGTCACCTATTCAGTTATTATCATTACAAGAACCAAACCTGTGGTACTTAAGCCTCGAACTGAGCTTTTCCGCGGTGGCAACTATAAATTATGGCCGAAGGGCATATTATCACTTTCAAGAAACATTTACAATCACGGCTTGTATCTTTTTCGATCAAGGAAAAATCAAGGAAATTTTCAGAAAGATTTTTTTTCTATAATATATTTATATTTGGCAATTGATTTTTCATGATGGATGGATACTGCGTCTCATTATCAAAATTTTTATCTTTGTTTTGCACTTTATTTACATTATTGCTAAGAGATATTAATGACAGAAACATATAAAAAAATTTTGCCTTTCCAGTTAAGTCAGTTAGCTTCGCTGATTTGCTGGATTAGACAAATTTTGCCACTTTTCGGCAGAGTCACCAGTGGCTAGTTAATGACATTTGGAATTTGAAAAGCCAGATTTATTCCTGCAGGAAATAGAACTGCAATATCGGCTCTTCGAAAAGAGGGCAAATCACTGAGCCATTCCATCCCCTTTTAGGTAAAATAGTTTTCTAAGATGATAATAGAATAAATTGCTAATTCACGATTCTTTCCATTTCCATAGAAAGAATTTATCTTTTTGCCTTTTAATATTTCTATCAATTTGAATGGAAAAAGGTTTTCTTAATATTTTTCTCATTTGAAGAATATAATTGCTGCTTGAGAAATTTTCTTGCGCAATCCTAATTGTTAGATTATTGTAATCGCTGTCTAATTAACTGATCAAAATCTGTCTTTCACGCCAATCGTTAGTAGACTTTTTTTCTTAACGGGGTTAATAAATAAAAAATTGCCAGGTAGCAATTTATTTTAAAATTATTAAAACTAAAATATCTGAAGATATATTAATTATCAACTGGATCAACTGGCTATCATCTTCGTCTTCTCTAAACTGCTTTATATTATCGACTCATTACTTATATATTAAAAGCAGTATTATCATTACTGACTTGGTTTGATCCACTACTGATTACGATAATTATAGGCTGAGAAATTCATAAAAATGTGCAAAAACTTAAAAGATAGCAGTTCTACACGATTTGTCACTACAGTATGTCTGTCATTCGGCCTATTTTCTTTGCTTATTCTAAATTTATTAGCCCAGTTTAAATAAAAATTTTAACCAATTAATTGAGTAAAATTTTGAAATAATATATGAAATATAAATGGAAATAAAATGAGATTGGATTGAATATAGCCATCTGATACCGCACTTCAGCAAATTTTCCAGCGATGATGATGATGATCGATGAATCTTAACAAAATAAAAGGCAATTATTATAGAACTAAGTGCACTTTAATTCATATCTTCCTTTTGTTTTGCATGAATCCAAATTAATTTCATTATTTTATTGTATAAGGAATGACTCGATTCTTTTGCCGATGAAGATTAAATTTAATATTGAAATTTCATGGGTGTGGTTTGATGGGTTTTTGTTCAATTCGGAGCTCTAATGCTGAGGTTCTACTCCTCGCGAGGGCCGTCGAAAATCCAGGTGATGCTGACAACCCATCTGTACTTCTATCGCAGGGGGACGCTAGCATATTCGTCCAGTGCGACAAATTAGCGGCGTCTAGCAGATATGGCAGGTATTCTGCAAGAAAAACAGTTAAAAATGGTAGCAAATAAATTTCAAAGATATTTTTATGATCGTTTATCAAACATAAAAGGGACATTTCAGGAGAAATTCAATGGAAAAAGTCCAATCAAAATTTCGCACTGGGTTTTTCGATTCTTCTTATCAATAACCATTATCTTCGATATCGATGATCTGCAATATCAGCACTATTCTTCTTTGTGGTTTGCCTCGATTCATTATTAGGACGAAACATCCTTGCAAAAAAATTATTTTAGGATAAAGGCGCAAGATTCATTTCTAGCAAGGCTAGGACTTCATTTTCAGTGAATGCACCTGAAAATAATTCGAACACGTGAATTTCGAATCAAGGAAATGCATCGCTCGACTGTCTTGTTTTAATATGGTAACGATTTAGTGTAACCATCGGAATTTTTTAAATTCAAGAAACGGTAAATGCTTACTTAATCTTTGCTGCTTAATCTATTGCATGTTTAAAGCATATTTAAGCAAAAATCTAAAATAAATCTTTAGGGCACGCCGAGCAGATAAAATTGGATATGATTGCATCCACCTTCTTTCAAATACCACCTGTATTAATACTATCTTCGCTGGTTAGGGCTCGTGGTCGTTGCACTCTACAGGAGTTGACATATATTTCGTTACTTGCTAAGTCCTGTGATGGCTCAAAAGCGAGGTGGGCCAATCAAGACCTGGACTGACACGGTTAAAAAAGAGTTTGAACGTATAGGTGGACCAGTAATATATGGACTTAGACGATGGACCAGACCGCGCCGCGTAGCTTGGAAACGCTTATATCCAGCGGTGGCAGCCTAACCAGTAATGGTGAGCGCTTTTAGAAAAAGAACTGGTTAAATAATCATTGTTATATTAGAATGCAAAGAGATAAAATTGCATTAAAAACGAATTTCAGTCGGATTAAATTGAATAATCGCAAAAAAATTTCATTATTTTTCTGCCTGTAAGCAATTTTCAACTTCGTAATTTGATATAAAATTCATTCAAGTCGCTCGAAAATTTCAATCAAAATTATTTAATTGAAAAAAAAATCTTTGAAAATTTTTCTATTCCAAAATGAAAATCACATATTAATTACTCGCAAGCAAATATTTTCCATTCATCTTTTATCATTACGCAAAAGATTCGATAAGGTGGAAAATCCTTTATAAATTTTATAGAATACTCGTTTAATTAGCTGGTTAGTTCTTATAATCAAAGCTTCATTACTTTTAAAACCAAACAGCGGTATGAGAGGTCCAAATGGAGTAGCGCGAGATAAGAGATGGATTCACGGCGCTTTTCACCCCCCACCCCCTCCATGAAACATTTAAACTATTTTACCTCAACCAGTAATATATATTGGAACCTTCTTTCAGCTTCACTAAAAAGCACAAATATTTACTTCGAGAAAGAATTACGAATTTACTGAAAACATCAAATAGGATGTCAGCAAAAGCTACTACCGCAACCAATTTACCGTTTCCCATTCACCATAAGTTATTATTGGAATTGCCAGAAAACGAACCAAGAACCAAGAACTTTCTTCACCGGCCCGATAAAAATTTCGCAGAAAATCAGCCGCCTTAACGAAATCTTTTATTTCTTTTTAAAAATTGCATTACCAGAAAAAAGACACAACACTATATGCATACAAGCAAACAACACCATGAATACCTTTTTTCTCGTCATCCTTAAACAAATAAATGGTATCGGCGATGGAACAATTTCTCCTATAAATCTCAAGAGTGAGAGAAACAAAAATTATTTATATAAACCTATTAATTCTTCAAAAGAAAAAAACTTGGAAAAAGATGTCAAACAGGTTTTTAACAAGTGAATACTTATACAACAATCTCAGGCACTTTTATACGATTCAAAATATGCTAAATAAAAAAAGCGAAGCTCAATACGAGGATATGTTGATGAAGAATATAAGAAAAGCAATATTATCTGCATAATTAAGATAATGAAACAACAAATCGCACATTCCCTTCGAAATTACTAAAAAAATATTTCGCTGCCTGCAAAAATAACTTTTGAAAATTCCCCAAGAAGAGAATGCACTCAAACAAATCGATCATTATAAATGCAGTGCAATATCGAAATATCAGAAAAAATATAAGTATAATATAAGAAGATATTAAAATATTCTAATTAGAAAAATATGATGAAAGTTGAAAAAAATGATGGAACATAAAATGATAAAAAAATGATAAAACGATCAATCTTGATAAATGATTTTTTTAAATAGCGCCACAAAAAATTTCAACAAAAATATAATAGAATTTGAGAACGGTGGGGAGAAAAGTAGGGAAGAAAGAAAGTCCACATTTTATAATATCACAAATATGACCTTGTTTTAAAATTTTCACTAAAAATTTGAAATTTCACACATTTCATTGACGATTCGCCAGAAGCGAATTCCACATTCCCATCAAGAGACAAAAATCGAATCCAAGTTAGTTGGCATTAATCCATGCAGACAAGAAGTAATATATAAATAAAAAGACAGAAATGTATCAGTTAGATATGTCGATAAAAATTCTGAAAGTCTTATTTAGATAAGGGCAAATAATAGGTGAAAAAAATATAATAAAAAAAATAGGAAAAAATAAAACTAATAGAAAAGTGGAAAAATGCTAGAAAAATAAAATATTCTGGAATTTCATGCATATTCTATTTGAAAGTGTTTTGCACATATTTGCATGAATCAGAATTCGCGATCTATTTTCCAAATTACATTTCCCAAATACACAAAAAAAACAAATAGCATTTATATTAATACAGAAGAAATAATGATTCTAGAGTACGAAATAATAGAAATAATAATTTAAGATGCATTAAGATTGAACTCTATAGTATATAGACAAAAAGAAGAAACCCAACTCCCGGTACCATCCTGCAAAAGGAAATGGCTTCTAACTTGCATAAATTTAAAATTGATCAAGAAACCTGGAAAAGTGCCCCATTTCCTGCCAATCTGTTAATCATATTTCCGCAGATTCCATTAAATAATCCTCTCTATTATAACGTTCAATCTCAGTGCACTATTTAAATATCTCAAAAAAAAGGTGAAAAGAAAGGGGAAAAGATGACCACGGAATAACGTAAAATAGAGTATGGCCATGTTCTTTAAAAGGTACAAGTTAGAAAATTTGTGCTCTTGATGGAACCCATGCGTATGGTTGAGACTGCTCAGAAATTACATTTAACACACGACGAACAAGGTCATCAAGAGAATGTCCGGCAACAACCGCTGAAAAATATATTTATTTTAAAAATGAAAAAAGATAAAAGTGAATTAGAAAATTCTCGAAAATTTAAAAATAAGATATTCACAATTCAATGGTTTTCAGTAGTTATTAGTTATTATTATCAATATTTCACTTTTAATGACTTCACCGACGCTTAAATGACTAAGTGCATTTCCATCGAACGAATGCTATTTGCACTATAAATTATATAAACCTGTGAAAAGATCGCCGAAATTTTGTTCGATTCGTTGACAACGTTGAAATTGATTAATAGCTTCATCTTCATTAATTGTATTATCCCATTCCCTAAAATATCTCTATGTTTTTAAAACCTTACCGTCAAATGTAAATCATCTCTAACTCCAAAAATTTCAAAAAAAATTTACATGATTTGACGATAATGCTGAGGTTTCACGAAGATGGCAATTGGATGAATATTAGCTATAGTTTGAAGCCTTCGTATAGCGTTTCCACTAACATCCAGAATGCAGTGCCGGCCCTAGTAATATTCGATGCAATTGGCCAATACAATATTTTTAAAAAACACGAATACATATACCATCTTCAAATTTGAAACACTAACCATTTCAGCAACTTCTCGAACTGAACTAATACTCGTACCATATAAGTTATCTTGAAACTGTCCTGCTTCAATAAATTCATTATTTTTAACATCTTCTTGCATTTGTTCTTTGGATACGAAGTGGTAATCCCTGCCATCGATCTCATTCGGTTTCGGTGGACGACTTGTATCTGGAATCACAAATATATACACATATATATATATGTATACCACGCCATGTGTCGGGGAACTAGAATTTGAATTTAAATGTAATCTGGAAAACTAGTACAACAGTACCTAATGAAGATATATAAAAGTAACAGGGAAGTGTAGATGGACAAAAGACCTAGATCCACATTAAAGAGGAACAGCTAATCGCCCAGTGCTTCAATTTAACGGAAAGAAAATAATTTGCGATAGAATCACCCTGCATCATGCGTCAGGCATCATAACTACCAAGCTACCAGACCATATAATCCAGTATATGAGTACAGATCAATTTCTTATCCAACTTTTTTTTCTTAGTACAAAATGCATACAGAGAAAGCAGTTAAGACTTCGATAGATTACTTTGAGCACAGCTTGTACTGACTATAGGAAATGCCTCACACATGAAATCTGGCATTATGAAAAATCGATACAGTCTTGGGTATATTCCTCAAGATGTCAGTGAACTATGGGAAATGACAATGGAAGTCAAAATCAAAACAGCTTGAACAAATGCTACACAAACTATAAAATTAAATTTTCTTTCTTATTTAAGAGAAAACTTACGAGGTACACAGCTGCTAAATCTATCGCGTTCCCTTAATACTAGTTCGTCATTTATGCGATCTTTCAGTGCACCCAGAATTATCACTGGTCGAGGATAATTTACTGAAAATGATAAGAATAAAATTGAAAATTGAAAAAAGTTAAAATTTAAAATAAAATATTTATATTTTTTCCAACTTATCGAAGAAATAAAAGAATCAATGCGAAACTAAGTAGTTGAAACAAACTTTGAAGTCTTTCTACTGCTACATAAGTTGGAATTGGTTCTTCGGCACCACCAACTGAAAAATAATTAAATAATTAAATAATGAAAGCAAACCCTAACATTAAATAAAAAACAAATTCGTTAATGCAACAAGCAATACGGACAAATAACAATGAATAATTTTCCAGGACTTTGGTAAGAGATTGAAATCGAGCGATTACCATCAAAATTTCCTATTTCTAATTTCGAAACTATTTCCATCAAAAAAAATACCATACTTACTTCTGAAGATAAAATCAAGAGTTATCAAAAAGTAAAAATATGAATAACTGAATGAATGAATATTTTTTGCATGCAAAGACGAGCAAGTTGCATGGAATATCTCAGGTTAGTAAAATAAAAAAATTTAATCGAAATGAATCTTCCACAACGGACGAACTTAGTAAGCAGAAGAAAAAAACATCAATAAAACATCCTACAAGTTCTATGTTAAAAAAATTCTATAAAACATCCTAAAACATCTCAACTTACAATAATCACTATCACTGGTAGTGTATGAAGTATATGTTGTACCACCACCTGATTGCAAAGTAATTATGAGAAATATGAAAAAATGGCAAATGCCAAAATGAAAATAGCATAAAAAGCAAAATCTAATTAAACTGGAATTTAATCAAGACGCTGAAATTTTAAAATTAAAAAATGAAAATCTAACGTTCATTATCGGTAAATTCATTTAGTTTTTCAGTGCTTTTAACGAATGGGAATTTTCTGGAGAAAGAAAGCTGTGAACGTGATCCTCGTCGTCCTTCCATTCCACTTCGGCCAAGACTTTGACTGCCAGCATTAAAGTTAACCTTAAATTTGCCATAATAAATTATTAAATCTAAGAAAGAATTCAATAAGAATAAAACAAAAAAAAATTAAAAATTAATAAAAAAATCACCTGTTTTCTACGTTGCCTTTCCTTTTTTTCTACTCTTCTCTTGGATGGAATAATTCCATCGATTCCTTCTTCACCATTTTCACCAACCAATCTAGCTGTCCACCAGTCATCATCAGTCGTATTAGTAATGTGGAGTATATCGCCATAACAAAATGATAAAGCACGATGTGGCACACCAACATCTCGGGAAGGATCATAATCGAAAAGTGCTCTGTGTATAAAGTAATTATTAAGTAATAATGTAAAATAATTTATATTAAATGATGTTAAAACCAATGTTGAAAAAATAACAACTATAAAACTGATTAAGTGCCAAATTTGAATTCTAACCGGACATAAAGCTCTTTAGTTGGCAAACCATATGTTATGATTCCACCACTCATCATATCTTTGCGCAACTGATCTATTTTTGCTTCAAACTGGGCGTAATCTGAAAATTCTCATAATGCAAGAAATTCAACAAGAAATTCACACCAAAATTCAAGAAAAAAATGCCAACCTTGGGGTCTATACTGCAATGTTAAAATTACTGGGTTCGTTGCTTCTTTTAATGCTCTAGCTGCTTCCGTATGAGTCGCATTACATAAATTAGTATTGTTCACTTGAAGTAATACATCACCCTAAAGAAAAAAAAAACTAAATAAATAAATAAAATAAATTAATAAAATTAAATAAAACAATATTATAAAACGTGAAAAGAAAATTTTTGAACAACAATGGTCAAGAAAAAATCACCTTTTTCACATTTCCTGAAAGATCAGCAACACCGCCAGGAAGAACATAGCTTATATAAATCGGTTCTCCTTCTTCACCTCCAACGATATTAAAGCCAAGACCCTGCATACCACGATTTAAAGATATAGAACGAGGAACAAGGGGTATTTCATGCGAAACCATTTGATGACCGATAGCATCAAAAGAATCGTGATGAACTGAACTACCGCCTTAAATTGTCAGCCGTAATTTACGAATTGACAAAATAATTTGAATTTACGAAATTAAATGATTCAAATGAACAAAGCAATATGGGAAAATTACCTGAACGAGCTGGTGTTGAGAGAGCTCCCATTGAGCGATTAACACTGTCATCAAGCGTTATGGGAATAAGCTCCGGGTGAGGATTCTTTAAGTAATATAATGTGACCTTAGCAGCTGTTTGCTTTAACGTATTTACAGCAAACTCATGAGTGACATTTTCCAGTAGAACATCATCAACCTTCAAAATAATTTAAATTTAGATTTAAATAAATAAAAATAAAAACTGAAAAAATATTAGAAACTAAAGAAAAAAATAATGCGGCGAAAAGATATTCATTGAAATGTTCAAAAAAACTCACAGCGAGAAGTTTGTCGCCAACTCTTAAACGACCATCGTGATAAGCTGCTCCACCATCAATAATTTTAGTAACATAAATCCCATTATCACCAGCAATATGTTCATTGCCAATACCGCCTGCGATACTGAATCCAAGTCCTCTTTGTCCCTAAATATTAAAATATTACCAATCTATAAAAGAACCAACCAAATAAAAAAAATGAAATATTGAATTTTAAAAATACTTTGTACAAATCAATTTTTTGTATTCCAGGTATACGCTCGAGTTTCTCAACTTCACGTAACGGCCTCTGGATAGCTATATTTGAATATGACCCGTGCGAAGGTGGTGCTGGGGGTGAATAATTTGGAACGGAAGCTCCAGAACTCTCATGGAAAGGCGACGCTCTTCCTCGTGGATAATATGAAGCCGTGCTACCAGAAATATTTATATCACGTTCGGAAAGATTTGGTCGACGACGTTTCAGAATCTAAAATCAGAAATGCAAATGTAAAAAAATAATGTCAACGGTTTTAATTAATTGATTCAAAAATAATTTAATAATAATAATGATATAGTGTTGATAAACTTTGGTTCTGCGAAAACTAAAGGTAACATTTGAAAAACAACAAAAACTTACCAAGCGAACAACATTTCCAGCATTTTTAAGAGCATTTACGGTTACTTCATGAGGGGCACGAGAGCAATCCGTGTTATTCACTCGCATGATAATATCACCAATTCTGAAAATACATTCCACAAATAAAACAAAATAAGAAGAACCTTAAAAAAAGAAAATGACGGTAGTTTTTTCTCTTTTATATGAAATTCTTCTGTATGTAATAATTAAAAAAATTCATTTATGAATCATTTCCTATGAATCAACATTTGTTAGTCGACTTCACTGAACTTTATAAAAATTCATAGAAACACTAAGAGAAACCAATCATAATAACTCTAATTCAATTTTATGACATTGTTAATATCGGCGAACAAAAAACGTCAAACCATGACTCAGAAAAAAAAAGATAAGAAATTACTTCATTCGACCATCCGAGGCAGCTGCACCCCCATGAATAATGTTTGTAACATATATACACGGGTCACCATCGATATAAGGTTGATCTTGACCACCTGCGATACTAAATCCAAGTCCAGTGTGCCCCTTTTCCAGAACAACTTCTTCCATTTCATAATCGGAACTATCCAAGTCCGTATGCCCATTGGCCTGAAATTGTATATATTGTTTTTGATCTACCGCTGCTGTATAATTTTCAATTTTCAATGAGAATGTTTTATTTTCAAAAAAATTTCTACTAAAAGTTCCACAAATCAAAAATTAAATATAAAAAAAATACCTTAATGAAAATTTAAAATTGTAAAAATCATTCAAAAGAAAAAAATTAAAGGAAATATTATAGTCTCAAAAAATTAAAGCTTTCCCGATTAGAAAAAAGAGAAAGATGTAACCAACTTAATGAAATCTAAAATTGCCATAGCCAATTCAGTGTGAAGCATTTACTTATGAAAAAATATCTTTTAAAAGGTAGCAAAAAAATTATTATAAATTACAAGAGAAGATACAGTGAATTGATTAGACTATTCTTGCGAATTTGGTAATTTCCTGGTAATTTGATAATTTTCGTATACTTTACATTCTGATTTTACAGTTTCGATGAAATACTTTGCATTAAAATGCTTATAGCCAATATAAAATATTTGTATATTTTAAAAGAAGACTACAAAAATAAACATTGTAATAAAGCATAAAACAGGTTTTCATCTATCTCACAGTTTTAATTCTAATAAAAGTTTCGATCACACCAACTGATAAATAATGAATAATGAAAGGTTGAAAACAATCTTTATTTATAATAATTATTTGGTATAATAGTCATTAAATAACACTAGACAATTTGCAATAAAAAAAAAATTCTTTGAGAAATCTTTGAAATCAAGACAGGACAACTCGAAGTTCACAGTGAAAATTAACTAATCACTTAAAAATATCGCTATAAAACTGCTATTTTTGTCAGTAATAATGTCATCTAAAATCCTATTTATTTAACTATCAAATTGTTAGTGCTTGATGAACATAAAAGTATTTGTGGAGATATGTAAGGCGACTCGAATTGATCACACTATCAAGAAAAAGGAATCAAAAGCCCAACCATGCAATATATAACTCAACTTCCTCTCATGAAAATTTCGTTCAAAAATAAATGAAAATCATTTCATTGATTATAGAAGATTTATAATTAAAATAAATAAGTACATGAACAGATGGGATTCATTAAACCATAAACTGAATAAGCAAAAAAATGCGTCCAACTACCAATTTGCTTAACAAGTGAACCATTCACTGCATTCAGCACTTTCAAAAATTAACAACAGTTTCTCCTTCTGAATATTTCAGAAAAGAAAAGAATAAAAATAAATATAATTTTTGCAGAAAATATTGATTATCATTTATTATTCTTATTATTAATTATTATTTTTGACATTTCCTTCTTACTTATCGGTCAAATTTAATCCATCTTCCTAACTGAATGAACGAACGAACCTTTCTAAAGAAAAATTACTAAGAATAATACTAACTATAAATTGCTGAGTAGTTGGACCTGTATGACTAGTGACAGTTTCCGTCGTTCGCCAACCATCATTTGAAGTCTGAAATATGCGATATTCAATATTTTAAAAAATCAATCTCGATATTACGGGAAAATACAGTAAAATATAACCTAAATTATTTAACCGCAAAGGTATTACTGATCTTCTTGCATTGGGTACCTTTTTCTGACGGCGATTTTGTAGATTCAGGATGATTTAAATATTTGTGGAGCTATAAAGATGTTTTGTGTAAATATGCCAAATCCGATGAACTTACATACTGCCGCTTTTGTTCATGAATCGAATATGAAGAATGAATTGGAATATCTGTACTCGTACTAAATGGAGCATTAACTGATTGTTGATCAATATAATGGAAACCAGAATCCTAAAAAAATAGAAAATTTGCCCGAGTACAATTGTAATTATTTTCAATCTCATATTTGCAAAAATTATAAAAATTTCTTCTTATAAAGTCAAAAAAAAGAAATGAATTATTAATTATTAATAAGAATTATTAAATTAATGTTTAACAAAAATTTAATAAAATAGATGGGAATATTTAATATAACAGATGGATTCGTCAAAAATCATTCTTTTTTTCGTTAATATAGCTCCACAAATATATTATAACAATATTATAATCGCACAAATAGTTTTACGATGTACATCGAAGATTATGAATTTAATAGCATATCGGTTCACGAAATCAGAGGGAAATTTCGAAAGAGTGGGATCGAGGAGCTTCAAGAAAACGAGGTGGAATTAAAATTAAGTGAATAGATCAAAATAGATCATTTTCGGAAATGATTGAAATCTAGTCAAATTTGGGGTAAGAAATTTAATACATCACTAGAACATTCTAAAATAAAACGTATGAAAAAATAAAAATCATAATAATACCACTGAAGCCAGTGGAGCAATTTTCGTTACATGACCAAACGGCGGATGTAGCTCCCAGCGTTCAGCAATTCGCCTCGTCTCAATAGCCTTTTGCGTGATTGATTTACGCTCATTTAAGAGGGTATCTTCATATAAATCTTGTATATCTGAAAGCAAAATACTGATAAATCCAGTATAAATAAAAAACACCGACATACCTTAAGCATCGCTTTGAAAAAAAAATTCAATAAAAATAAAACTGATGAAGAGAAAAATAAATATAAAAAAATGAAATTCTAACGCTTACAGCACCCATCTTTTATCTATTAAACGCTATCAAACGAGAGACAATAAATTACCGATTAATGATTGAAACAGTGCGCCTTTAAAGTTGCTGATTAATTTTTCAATTTCACGTTTCAATTCCGATGAAGTCGAGCTTACTAATGAGGCGTGGTACTCTTCAAGTTGTTCTAAAGCACGATGCGCTTCTAAATATGTTTTGCTCTTTAACTATTTTTGTAAGAAAATAAATATTTGCAAATATTTCGAATTTTTTAAAAGTTTACACGGAGAAAAACCACTTTACCTCCACTTCTGCGCACAGGCATCCTTTCCCTTTAGTTTAGCTTATTTTCGTCGATATCACTTTGAAATCGAAAGTGTTTTTTTTGGAACTATAAATAACTGCAAATTTCCTAATGATATTCATCAAAATTATGTTATAAACGACAACTAACGAAAAAACAATGCATAAATAATAATAATTACCAGCGAAATACGAAAAATAAAAATAAAAATTACAAATATTTGCGAAATTTTTCTCTCCCTCAAACCAACGATCATAATATTTCTAAGTGATTAAAATCATACAAGCAATTCGATTCTAATTCGATTCGAAAAAAAAGAACAAACGAAAGAACCAATAAACAATTTGTCCTTGGTAAAGAATAGACAGTAATAAATTATTTAATAAGAGTAATAATTATTGCATAGCAAAACAGTAACAATAATGTTATATAGTCGGTCTAAGAAACAGTAAAATGAAGAATCCATTTCGGAATTGCGGATCTGTTTTGGATTCGAGTTCCGGAAAAGCGCCAAATGAGCCACACGTTATATCCATTCTCATTAAACTTGGCGTATTTGGAAGTTTACCAAAAAATATTCCTTCGAAAAAAATAAGTAAAAAAACTTATTTGAAAAACTTACTGAGAACAAAAATTTCATAAATAAATTGAAAAATTTACAAAAACTTGTAAAAAAAAAAGAAATACTACAGAGATGAAGTGAAATTTGTTTAATATATACGATTGATGAACGAATTGCAGATTTTATAAACAAAAGTTGATGAGGCAGAAAAGAATTTCTTCTTCTTAAGAATTTACCTTTGTTTACTTATATTCTTCAACTCAACGCGATTATACTTTTATAATTACGGCAAACATTTTTAGAAACGTATGAATGATAAAATTCACTCGGAAAACAATTTTGAAGAAGAAGAAAATGATGAATAGGAATAGGAATAATATAACACTAATGGCCCAACAATGGCGCTTTGCTTTTACAAATTTTCCATTTCTCCATTTCCATATTTTTCTTATCAGTGATTCGTTCATCGAAAAATTTATCACATTTTCGAATAGCCAACTAGATGGTGCCTTACTGACAATTCATAAATCAATATTTTTCACCTCTCATTATTCGTCCATTCTTTTGCTTAAATCGAAATCAAATGATAAAAAAATGAATGGAATACAATTAACGAAACGAATACACAAATAGTGGTACCATCACCAAGGAATTTCTCTTCTTCCTCAAACTGAAAATTAATCCATAAGTGTAATAGTATTGTACATGTAATCTGCATAATGGCTTATTTCTATGCAAACGATGCTATATTAGAAAAATGGCAACAAAAAACCATTCGCACAGCATTCTCACAATGGACCAAATAGCAGCATTCATTCAACCTCTCAGATAAAACTATAAACCATTTTGGAGATTTGTTTCTTGTTAATAGGGTCGATTTCTCGAACGTATTGTTTTCCTCAAACAAAACTTTCTTCCAAAATAAGAAAATGGTCATATATTTATAGCAAATTAATACGATCTGATCCTAACGAATGGAATTTTTACGATTTTTGCAATGAATAAAAATCATTAGCACAAAGCAATAAAAAAATAACAACTCCTTATAAATATATTATCAAAATATTCACCAAAGAATTAATACTGGTCACGCTTCGCTTAATCAATTTTCTAGCCGTTTTCCTAATACAACTCAATACAAGAAATTTTTATTATATAAGAATTCACTAAGAATTTTCATGTCATATTTAAAAAATTATAAATCAGCGAATGGCTAAGATGCTTAGCTGTTTGCCTTCAATACGATATAAAGTACGATTCATGAGAAATTAATTATGAAACAACAAATCAATGATCAAAAAAATAGATCGAGTTACTATTGAACGAAAAACAGCATTTAGCGCCAAAAATTCCGGTAAAAAAATGATAAAAAAATTCAAAAAAAGTCATCGAAGACAATAAAAATGTTTGTCGATGGGAAAAAAGAATCGGAAGAAAAAATTGTTGAGTTATACCATTCGCAATTTCTGTATAGCTCCCTAATAATGCGATGGAGAATCCACAAAAAATTGCAACAATGTAGCGAAACCAAGGTCGCCATCCCAGGGATTATCGCGTATAGCAAAATCCGACCTGAAATTAAATCCTTATCCATTAGTAAGAATGTTGAAGAAATAAACGCTGAAGAAATCTGATCATAATAACCAACGGAGATAATTTTGAACTCGTTTTTTTAAATAATCGCGAAAAAATCTAAAACAAAAATTCAAAATAAAAAATCTAAAAAAGAGATAAAAGAAAGATAATTAACGAAAAAGAAATAAAATTATAAATTAATAAAAATAAAATATAAAATAAAAATAAAAAATATGGTTAAAATTTGGAAAGAAAAAATGGAGAAAAATACCGTTACCGTTCATGAAAAATAATTCCTGCACGAATCAAAAGAATTCATCATTCGATATCGATAAAAATCAATCAAATCGTTAGAGATGATAGGTTTTATTGCGAAGGTCAACTTCAGAAGGTCATGGGATTTGCATATATTATACATTAAAGCTATTATTACTTTTGTATATATATGTATATTAACACAAACGAATAACCAATAAAATCACCGAACTCATATTTATTAATTCTATGCGGTCAGTGAAATATACGAATGGAATGCGGTCCTTAGCCTGAGGTCCTTAGATCCCAGTGAAAAGTGTGAAATTTTTTATTTCGCCAATTTCTAACTGAAATTTAAGCATTTTCCCTAAAATCTGAATAAATAAGAACAAATATCAAAATCATATAAGAAAATAATTTATAAGCAATTTCAATTTTTTCACCAATGGAAATCACCGATTTCATATTTTCCAAAATAAATATAGAATGTGTCCATTGGACTCCATAAACAGCCATGATGGTCCAAAAGCACAAAAAAAGGGCTTAATTTCAGGAGGAGAGCCAAAGTCGCTGAAAAAAAGAATAAGAACCATAATTGTAGGGTATGATTTTGAATGGCAAAAATCAAGCATATTAGGTCAAAAAAAATTTGTACTGGGCAAACCTTTCGTGCAGGCGAATGAATAGTAAATACCCACCCAAAGTGCGCAATGAAATAATATTTCCAGCGGGGAAAGAATACTTTCGGATCGTTCGTCAAGTTCGTAAGAGAAAACTCAGTGGGTTGCTGCTCTCATCTCGGACCGCCAATGCTGCAGTTCCATGCCCCGCATGAACCCGCCTTTCGCCGCCGACCCACTATATTTTCATCCCCAAATGACTCCTCGCAAAATTTTTCTCTCACCTGACAAGCCAATGAAATCGAAAAACGAAGCAGATACTATTCATATAAACTTTATCAAAACAAAATCAAATCAAAACAAAAAACAACAAAAAACAACATAAATTGATGACTTAGACCGCGAAATAGCACGAGCTAATTTACGGTTTCAGCTGCACGCAAATCTTAAGATGCATGTTAAAGCGAAATGCACAGAACTACAGTTAGTGGGAAAAAGAGTGGTGGGGGAAAGGGGGGGGGGGGGGGGGGGGGGGGGGGGGGAGGATATTTTTGATTAATTAGATAATTATTAAACAAGTGATATATAGTCAAATAGCTCGTTAAATATGTTATAAAGCCACTTCTTTTGCCCTTCCTCTTCCTCTTTTCTTTTGATAATGGGCATTTAATATTTGCAATGCTTGTTTGGTTGACGCCACTTATCGTTGGAGTGGGAGCATTTCGATAGAGAGTCACTTGTGGATAAAGGCACAGGTCAATTATCCTTTTATCCGCAAATTGCCCTTAATAAATTGCCCCAGGTTAAATGAGTCTCTAAATTTAGCATTTTAATTCATTTAGGAAATGTACTTTTTCTAAAGCTATTATTATATAAATTAAACATTTCATATATTGTGGAAAATATAAGAACGGCTAAAATACAGATCCATAGAACAAATGGTGCCAGTGGTACTTATGTGTCCAACAGCCCATCGAATTGTCACCAAACAACGAATGCGAAAAGTTATGTTGCGGTCTTAAAAATCGAAAATAGAATTCCAGCTAATAATCAGTTGACCACCATAATCATCAAAGAATTAATTAATGAATGATTAATATTGATAAAGCAATACCCTTGAATCAAAGATGATTTGTCGGCGACTTAGCTGCAAGAAATATGAATCAAGAGGTCAATGAAATGAATCAAGAAAGGAATGGAAAACAACAGGCTGACGACAGCAACAACGAACAACTGACAATCGGACAAGAGTCGCCAAAGGAGCGATGAAAAAGAAGCAAAAAGCTATCCTTTACTATCATTGAAAGTTTATCATATTAGCTCGACAAGTCGAATCAAATTAAAAATTAAATGTACTGTTAAAGAAGAAAAAAAGCAACGAAAAAATTATACGAGGAAATGGAAATGAGCGATAAAACTGATAACTGATACGAGATTATCAATATTATTATCAGAAATAGATAAAAAAGTGATAATTTAGTTTTTGAAATTAATCAAATCAGATTCAAAGAGAATTTTATAAATTTATATATTTTATAAATTTTTCGTAAGTTTTATAGTCGAAAACTTTGCGGGGGGTAAAGAATGAATGAAAAATAGCGAATGCACATGCACATATGTTGCGATACAGTGTGGTAACAACAAGAATGCAGTGCATGAAAGAAGGAAGAATTTTCAGAATGAAACGAAAGTTGCTGATTGTCTGTCTTCTTGAAATTCTTTTCTAAAAAGGATCATCAAAACATTTTTATTATTTTTAATTTACAAAACAAAACAAGAAACTTCTAAAAATTAATTATTTAATAATAAGAAAATTAGATAAATAAGAATAAAATTCCTTGAATTTTCGATAATTTTAAAGAATAAAAGGAATCGATTCTTTATTTAAGTGGTTTTCTGAGGTTTTTCTTTAAAGGTCCTCGCCATTACTGGTTAAACTCGCTCCGCTGGCTTGTCGCACTGGACAAATCGAATAGAGATGGTGCTAGTGAATTTTACTAGAAGAAGAA